GATGTGCAGTTTTCAACACCTATAGTCAACTGTGGTTTGCTCTTGCAGTCAACAATGACAACAAAGCTTTCTGCAGAGAGCCAGAAGCTGGAAGCATACTTAGTACAGCCACAGCCCTGCACCCCACTGAAAGACCTGTGCCCTGAACATCCTCTCTGCCTTTGCGATACATCCCAGATGTGCCTGGACTTTTCTGATTGATTGGGTAAACAGGAGCACCCGTAGAAAATTGCCGTTCAATAGAATGTCATAGGAGGGACACATGAATGAGAATTCATACAAACAACAACAGATTAATCTGATAAAATGTCAAATACTCACAGAGAAAGGAAGACTGGTAGAGAAATCTTACTACTGTAGTGTCCAAGTCCCATCCTGGGCCATAAAGTCCAAAATTTTGATAACTTGGACAAACATTACAGAAGTTTTCATTCCTACACTCAAAATCCATTTTAGAAATGGATTACTTTTTGCAGGAAGCTAATCCAAAACTTTATTTCTCTGAGCATAAAAACTGTTCTGATATCCAACTAAATGTTTTATTTTAAAGTCAATATTTAGTTCCAAGCATTAGCTGAGTTATGGCCATCCAGCTAACCTGTCTATCAGGGTCTGTCCCAGCTTCCAACTAATCTTTTGACCACTGTAAGGACCTTAAGACTTATTTCTATGCAATGCAGTAATAGCTACCATATTGAGCCTCGCTCTGCAGGAAATAGACCTTTATCAAATATAAAAACTATACTCAAAGGACAGAATGTATTTTAAATAAATAATTCTTAAAACAGTAATGCTTCAAAAATTACAATTGAAGTCTACCCTCAATCTTTTACAATTACATGACTCAAGATTGGTAAGAGCATACTTAAATCAAACAAGCAGTCCAAGTAAATAAAGCACTTTTGTGAGATTTTGTTGTTCCTATCAGCATTTTTAGTAATTATGGATTTGAACAGCATTGTGCTGTGCGCTGTTGAAGCAAAATGGTGTCTGGTATCTGTAACAGCAAAAGGACAGAGTCAGGATGAAAACAGCCTATTTGAAAGTCAGGGAGTACCAAAAAAGGAAGATTGGGACAAGTGGGAGGAGGCGAGAGAATACAGAACGGGCTTACTTAACAGGAACCTCCATGGAGGGCAGATACCCAGGTTCTTTTTAGTCCTCTTCTAAATTAGAAGACAACTGCTGAGCTATCAAACACATAGTAATAAAGATCTTGAAAATCTCTGCTGACCTAATTACTTTCACTTGGATGTACTGCATGTTTCTCATTAGCAAACAATTTGATGATGTTAAATTTACATTGCTGGCAACTACTAGCAGCAGCTCAGCTCACAAATAGAATTTCAACATAACTTTATTTTCCTTATCAGTGTCACAGAAAAACAATTGGTGAACTGTAAAAAAAAAAGTGCTGTGAAAAAGAAATAAGAGAATAAGAATAGTTATTAAGAACAGTTGTAGGTCAGATGCTAAGTATTTCTCAGCAGTTTCAGAAATTTCATAAACTAGGCATTAGTTGTTTTGTTGTTTGTTTTTTTTTAAATAACACCTTTATTTCAATAAAGGATTTCCAACGTATTGCTCGAGTAGAGGATATTGCCTGAGGAATTGTAGAAAAGCTCAACTTCAGCTGGTCTTAAAGTTCCCTTATATTACTAATTAGATTCAAATAGCTAGGGTAAAGTATATTAAGAAGATGGAGGGACATTCTCTCCATTCCACATAAACATGAAATTCTATAACTGATTTTCAACTGTCTTTCATGCATTCTCATAAAAATTATAATCTTATCAATGACTATTTCACAGTTGAGGTAGTATTTGTAAAAGCCCCAAAGCAAGAACCATGAAAGACAGAAGGTCTCATAATGCTCAAATCAGTGTCAAGAAGGGCAATTTTTCACCTGGATTTATTGCATCACTTCTGATACTGTGAAAAAGCTGGTCAGTGTTTCATATATATGAATGAACTCTGCAATAAAAGCAAGGGTTCAGCTGCTTGACTTTGTATGACAGATAATGGTTATCCTTCCTGAAATTCACTAAAAATTTACTAATATATATTTTGATTCATTCAAATAAATAATTCATTAATTGATTTTAATTTCTTTTAAAGCACACAAATCAGTATCTGATTTGTGCTATGTACTCAAACTTTAAGAAGAATTTACTGTAAGAAATTAAGAGCTAGTTGAGTAAAGGTACTCATGGCTAGGCTTCGCGAACGAAGATTTGGGAAGGCTCTAACCACATTTGCTACAGGCACGCTGGTGGCTAAAGAGGCCAATACGTGACAGACATATCCGATTGCAAAAGGCACAGCAGAAAGACTCCTTAGATGGTATATTCTGCAATACACGGTTCTTTCTGCGCTGCCTTTTCTCCTCGAGAGTGATCCTGCGTGTGTTCTCAAAGGCATCAGCAGAGTTATAGATGGTGTGTCTCCAGACCTCCCGACTGGAGGCCAGAGTAGACCAGTTATTGTGATCAATATGGCCAAGGCTGAGATGTTGTTTCATGGAGTCCTTGTATCTTTTCTTCGGGGCTCCTCTCATGCAGCAGCCGGTGGCAAGTTCACCATAGAGCAAGATCTTAGGGAGGCGGTGGTCCTTCATCCTGGAGACGAGTAAAGGTACTACTCATTTTTTAATTTACCATCCTACTTAGGTATATACCAAGTTAGGTCAACAGCTCTGTAAGTGGGACCATACACAACAAAGTGGTCTCTTCTGTTTCACATTATTATTGGAGCATTATTATCTCAATGCATCAGGAATAAGAGAAGTTGAAAATGTATCAAGAGTTCTCATCAATGGATGCCTTGGCTGTGCCTCGAAAGTGTCGCTGCCAGCCATTGCCTTCATTCCCACTTGTCTCCATCCTCTTCTCCAACTGCTTTTTCCTTTGCTGTTGCTCTCATTTGCTTTGGCTGCTGTAGTGATGGAGAGATTATAAGATGATCATTTCACAAGCAAGCAATGCATTCCTTTTATATGGAGAAAGAATGGTTTATGGATTGTATCTTGAATGACTTATTGATTAAGAGGTTCTGCGCACAGGATTTCTTCCACTTGAAGAGTTTCAGTATTATTGCACTTGAGCATGTTTCCAGGGAATATTCAGTTTCACGTTTTGTTCTTCTTCAGAGCAATTATCCAAATGTTAATATCTTTTGCTGCTGCGGTTACTTTCTATTAGATTTTCTATTCTGTAGTTTTATTAGATTCTCTTGGCCAAACACCTACACAGGCTAGCAAACAGCAGAAAAAGAATGAAGCATCTGCTTTTCTGTTTTTCCTCTTCACATTATGTCAGTTAATTCCTGAAGCTGTGCCTCACTTAAGAAATGGGTATAGTTCAACGGAAAGCAAACAAATCAATTACTGAATGTTCTGAACAGACATTAGAGGGCTGAAAAAAAAATCCAAAATTTTCCTATTCTTGTGACTGTGCAGAGATCCTCATGGTAATTTTTGTTGAATGATAACTTTTTCATGGTAACTTCTTGCAAAATTAGGCTTTGGACCTTAGCAATTGATCAGAGCTGTGAGTCACAAGGCCATAAGAGGAATGTACCTCATTAAAGCCACAACATGAATGGAGGACCTAACACATGAGGTAACCAAGGTCAGGGAACACCAGAGCACAGAGTCAGGAAGAATTTATTTTAAGGATTTTCATGGGAGGCTAAACTGGTCCTATTCATAGGAAAAAAAAGCACAAAAAGTCTTGCCTTGCCCAACTGATACAATCTTTCTAACACTATCTGACTTCATTGAGGCCAAATACTGGCATGACCAAAGGGCTCTGTAAAACTGATTTATAACATAAGCCTTGTCACATAAATACTCAGGAGGAACTTTTTCCCCAAATATGAAGTGCTAATACAAGAAGGTAGAAAACAGACTAAATAAGTACATTTGTCCTTGATATAGAAGTGCACTGACACAGATGTCACCAATAAAATAAAATATAATGCACTCACTGAATGCAACTGGCTTTAAAATCACTTTTGTTATGGTAGTAATTAGATTAAAACACAATCTAGAAAGTCCACTGCTTTAGTAACAAAATACTGAAACAGTTTTGCAAGATCCATGAAAAATCCTTCCAAAGACAGGAATGGACCAACAGGTGAAGGAATTGCAAATAGGACCCTCGTTATCTTCTTTCCCCTCCTCCATTGTCCTTAACCTTTTTTTAACTCATGTTCTCTGCTGCTTTTAAAAACTGCCTTATCATTCTAGTGAACTGATAGTGTTTCCATCTGATTCAAGAATTTTAAGAGTGTATAGATGTGATTTTACCACAGTCCTTTACATCTTCAGCTCATGTGGCATGTAAGTGTACTCAAACAGGTGTTTTTCACAGATACAGTGAGACGCAAGAGTGGTCTATGTACCCATCTTCATTATTTTACTTCAACTAATAGATTATTTTGTACAGCAGAAATTCTCTCTTTATGTGCAACTTCTTAATGAAATATTTACCAAAACACAGCTGCATAATTTTTACATATACAGGCAAGTATGTACTCTGTAACCAATAGCCGATGCTGCTGCAGGTATCCAAATATTTATGTATTCCCATTAGCATAGTGGGGTGTAAGGAGGAAGATGCTCAGCTTTGAGGAAAACAGCACTATTTTTCAAGTCCTATTCTGTAGAAATTAGGTAAATACGGTCTGTAAAATCAGATCATAATGTTTAGCAATTCTGATATTCCATTTGTGATCAAGTAGACATTCTCTTTTCTCTATGCATTAGTACAACTTCAAGGCAACTATAGCTATAGTTTTCGGGGAAAACAATTTTGTAAAAAGTAACTTAACAGTGCAGAAATCAGAAAAGTCAGAACCATGAATCTTGGATCTTATTCAATTATGCACCAAAAAACAACCACCATACAACACATTTCAGTTTAAAGATGCGTCACAGAAACTGAACTGAAAAGCAGAACTTTGCAAACTAAGCTCAGGAATATTGATTTATTACTCACCGTAGTTTCTGGTTATACTGCTTGACTTTTTCTAGTGAGGCTGCATTAATCTGAGCTTGAAATTCTTCTACTGAGACACTGTCTCTGTAATAGTATCCTTCCATGCTCTCCAGTGCTGTGAAAAGAGAAAGGAGAATGGAAAAGAGAAAGATCAGTATTAAATATTTAGTAATTGCCTTCTTTGTAGTTTTGTTCACACACAAGTGAATTACTTTTTAACCTTGAGGCTGTGACCCTACTGTGGATCGCTGAGCTGTTTCTGTATGTCATCAAATTCATACAGATCTCTTTTAAAGATTTCATTTACAAGAAAAATTGTATTTCTTGCCCTGTGGAAAATATAAAGGAGAGTGATAATTTGAATTCCTTTGCTCTAATTAAAGTATTCCTGCCCTGTGAATGTAAATGTGAGGTTTAGTTTTGATATATCCTGGAATAAAACAGTAGAATGAGCTAGGGCAGTGGAAATAAAGGATTAATGTAGCAGTTACTTTCACAGAGGGAGACCTAACAACTTCTCACAAAGTCCAATTTTGGGAGATATGGAGCACCTGAACCTCTAGTTATTCCCACTGATAATGTGAATACCTTCTTCTAGATCAAGTAAAGCAAACTTCTCTGGATCTCTGAAAACACCCTAGAAGTTCCTTTTCAAGGCTCAGGTAAGTAAAGTCAAATACTTGTCTGTGTCCACTTTTGTTGTATTCACTTCACCAAAGCAAGAATGAATATTGCTACAAGAACTCAGGAACTAAAAAAAATCTTGAATTAAAGGAAAGATTTTTATGCCCCTCCTACAAGCATTGCACAGAAATTAAAAAGAGGGGAAAAAATGAATGCACTACCATTCCATTTTGGGGTTGTTTTCCTAGCAACAGATTTAAAAAACAAAAAACAAAAAAACCCAAAAACATTCCACCAGACCCTTTGCTTTAGGGGCTTCATGGGGTGTAACCTTCTCTTTAGTGAAGTCAAACCAAGTGTTTGAAAGATCCTCAAGAAAACGTGGACTGTAAAAATAAAGATTTTCCCATTAAGAGGTCAACCTTATTGATCTATGACATAAACCGCAGGGTGAAATGAAAGTTTTTGGGGACAAGCATTAAAGACCTTACAATTAGGAATATGGTCACTTTAGTAATCCATACACAATTTAAGAATCCATCACCCTATTAGAAAATGCAAGCAGTAAGCAGAGTTTTGATGGAAACATGCTGCTGTCTTCCAGCTTAAGCTCCACAAGGAATATTAATTCTGCTTGTACTGCTTAATGTGAAAGAACATGCAAACTGCACTCGCTGTGCTCTCAGAGTTTGTAATTCTACTTCTGTGTGAAAAATATTAAATTTCAACAGACAGACTTGCTTCTTAACTTCCTTGGCACTAAGTCACATGAGAAAGCGCACAAAAAAATATCCACTGAACTCCATCTACAGCAGCATGTCAGTACAAACAGAACTGATAATCCCTACTGCTTATTTTACTGGCACGAAGCTGGTTTTATTCAATTAGATTACCCAACCGGGAAACTCAGTCATCTGTCGGGACTGGCTGGAGCACACATTTCTGCCTCTGCAGGGGCCATGCTCACAGGTGCATGCAAGCACTCCCACACTGTGTGCTTTGGCTCTCCCCTCTCTGAAGGGTTTAACATTTTTCTACCTAATATATTAGAAAGCTCTTTATAAGGAAGCTTTCCTTACAAACGTCTTCTATGGTATTCTTCCATCCAAGTTAAGATATTATGGTCTGAATGTATAGATAACCAAACGGGAAAACAACTTTGAAGAATGGGTAGACTCTCCTAATGGGACAAGGTCTACCTAGAAGCCCACTAAAAGCAGAATAGCACAGGGATCTATATTGTTCTATGTCTTTATCACTGACATGGAGGAGGTAAGTCAAGCTTGCAGCAGGTACCAAACTGGGAGAAGGAGTAAATATACTCAAGTGCAGGGCCGTATAAAGAGGCCCTACACAGGATGGAGAAATCCAGCAGGAACCTTGTGAAACTGGACAAGGACAAATGTCAAGTTCTGCACCTGGAAAGGCAGAGCCTAAGAGCAGCTCTGCTGAGAAGGAACTCAGGGTCATGTTAGGCAGCAGGCTGAACATGAGCCTGCAGTGTCCTCTGGCAACCACGATGGTCAAGATCCTCCTAAACCATATTAACATAAGCATGGCCAGTAGGCTTAAAGGAGCGCTTGTCCTCAATTTACTCAGAATGTGAAAGCTGCAGACCAACTGGAAAGAGCTGAGTAGAAGGGCCACTATGACAAGCCAGCTCTTCCCAACAGTGCATGCTGGCATTACAAGAGACAGTCGACATAAATTGAAACAAGAGATGTTTCAACTTGATAGAGAGAAAAAAATATTTTCCATTAGGGCAGTCAAGTAGAGTAACAGACTACCTAAGAGGTTGTGCAGTTTCTGCCCTTGGTGTTTGCAAGATCCTATTTGATGGACACCCGAGCAACCTGGTTTCATGTCCCAGATGACACTGCTATGAGCAGGAGGTTGGACCAGAGATCTCCTGAGGTCCCTTCCATCTGAATTATTCTACGATTCTATGAAAAACTGAAAAATGTAAAAAACTATACAAAATTTTAAATAAACTGAATTTTAATTTTAAATAAAGTGTCTTTCATTAAACTTATTTATTGCTGAGATCTTAATTCTAATGTAGGAAATAGAGAAATCTAAATGCCAATAGCAATATCTCAACATTCTCAGCCTCTAGTCCTACAAATCAGGATCCATTTGAATATATACACACCTAGGTATACGGTTGCACGAAACTGTTTTTTATAAATGGAGGGATAGCTAATATAGCCCAGGTAAATATTAAAAAAACTTGAAAAAATGTCTACAGTGCCAATCCTGCAAATATGTAGACTTTTAATTTTAGGCATGGAGCTATGCCACTCGGAATAGAGCAACATGGAGATAAAGAGACTGATGTACACTTACCTGTGTCTCTGACAAAGTATTACAAAACCATCATTTTCTAAATGTTCCATTTGAAAATATCATAAACCATTGTATTTTAGGCAGGAAATGGTTCAGCCCTGATAAGCTTGGGAAGCAAGATTTCATTTCACAAGGAACTTACATTTTTAGCTAATGATTTTTAGTTACAGATGGGAATGTACTGAGTTAGTTTGATGGCAGCGCAGCCAAACCTCATAGGAATGAAGTAAAAAATAGAATCCCAATCCACTCATTAATGAGGTAAAACCTGAACAAAATAATGATTTAACCACTAGGATTTAAATTCTTATCCAAGACTTCTTATTCTTGGAGTCTAATGGACTCTTTTAGAGGGAGGTCCTTAAAAATAAAAGAAATTTGATATGGTAAAGAAAGAAGAAACCTTCTATACCACTGAAAATTATTAAGCATATGTAAACACTTGAATGGATCCTTGCCCTTTTCCCTTAGCTTTCTACAAATATGCTTATCCAAAGAAGTAAATATTTTGGGCTTCTGGAAACAGAAAGGGGAAAAAATTTGCAAAATAAATCCTGTAGCACACTGAATCCCCTCCCCAATCTAAAAAAATTAGTATTTCCAGGAATTCAGGAATTCCTGAAACCAAGTTATTTTCTATTCTCTTTCATGTGCCTTTTTGTCTGCCCTACCGAAACATGTCTCCTGCTTAGCGTTCTCTTCGAAAGAAATTCACTGAAGTCTTTATTAGTTTGTTTAAAAATAAGACTTCAGGGATCTTATTTTTAAAAAATAGTGTATTTTAAATTTATAGTAAATTCAGCTATTTCTCCATGTATCTTTCTGTTCACTATTTCCTTTTACATCCTGCTTATCTATCAGAGACCAAGCCCTTCTCGAATCCTTCATTTGTATGCCTGATTTCCACCTATTCCTTATAGACCCTTGAAGCCTTTCACAAGGTAGGGAGTACTTTCAGCTCCCTCTGAAATCAAAGGTGGCTCAAGGCAATCAGCAGCTCACATTCACCATTTCAGTGAGGCAAACTTCACGCTCTTGATGACTGTAATGACACCGTTGCTAATGCAGGCTGCCTCTAATTTATGAATAGTCTGAGCATCAGCACCACCATTCCTTACTTTGTAATGTTTACAGAGCAATAACAACAAATGCCTGAAAGTGTTATTTAACTCTTCATAACATTTTAAAGAGACAGAATTCTCAGGGGATAACAATTTAGTCCTCCAATATGAAGCAATAGAAAAGATTACGGCATCATTTGAAAAGCAAAACACTTTCAAAAGCAAGTTTTGTGGTCTAACTATTGTCCATTGCTGTTGGAATCATATAACAGGCATAAACTTAGAAACCTCTACCCATGCCTCTATTTTTTATTACAAATATCAGCATTTCTTAAATTTACATTTTAATTCAAAGGTCTAAATAAATGCCCACATTAAATGACGTTTAAATATAAGCATTGTGCCCTTAAAGTTACAAAGGATTTAAATCAGAGAAAATAAGTGAGGTTTTAAAGAAAGTTAACTGTTATGTGAAAGAAGCAGGGTGGAGGTGAATTAAAACTCAAGTTACCTTGTGAAAAAAGTACTGGATGGATTTTAAATCCCCCTCCATTCTTCAGCCTTTGGGGAAGCTGTTCAAAATGGTAACTATCAAGGTAGAAGTAAACCTTCAGCGTTTGCCGGCTTCCTTCTGCTTGGTACGTGATTGGTACATCTAAAAATACAGCCAGTGTCACAATTTCATTGAAAGCAATGGCACATCCTTTTACGGAAACTGTTGCACCCAAAATTCACATGGTTAGATAAAAAATTACTGCAGACTCAACTAATATATTCAGTATTTTACATTATACATGGTGTTGCTTTGGTCAATTTTGGCCTAACCATTATAAGGGAGTAGATAAACAGAAAAGCAGTGACCATCATCTTTGACAGACTGTCACTGACAACAAAAATACTCAGCAAATAATGTAGTTGGCAACATTCTACTTGTTTTCCCTGTAAATATGGAGAAACATAGAATGGTTTGGGTTGGTAGGATCTTAAAAGATCATCTAGTTCCAACCCCCTGGGCTGGGCAGGAATACCTTTCACTAGACCAGGTTGCTCAAAGCCCCATCCAGCCTGGCCTTCAACACTTCCAGGGATGGGGGATCCACAACTTCACTGGGCAACCTGTTCCAGTGCCTTACCATCCCCACAGTAAAGAATTTCTTCCTGATAGCTAATCTAAATCTGCCCCCTTCCAGTTTAAAGCCATTCCCCCTTGTCCTATCACAACATACCCTTGCAAAAAGTCCCTCTCCAGCTTTCTTGTAGGACCACTTTAGGTACTGGAAGGTGCTATAAGGTCTCCCCAGAGCCTTCTCCTCTCCAGGCTGAACAGTCCCAGTCCTCTCAGCCTTCCCTCATAGGAGAAGTGCCCCAGCCTGAGGACTGCACATCCATCTCCAGCACACAGTTTGAAACCACTGGAAGGATACCTTTAGCTACATTTCACAGGCCTTCATGAAGTGCATCATGTATAACATCAGTGTGATATACAGCATCAGATTCTCCTCAGATTTGTACGGAATAGAACACAAGCAAATATACAATAGCTATCAGCATATTAATGAAATTATTATTAAAAATCAGGACTCAACTGAGAAAATAAATGTATCGTGGTAGAATAGAAAGCTGTAAGAGAACATCACATGAGATTCTGATCGGCTAAATCTCATAATAAATCAATTGGTGCAGGGTTTGGAGCAACCAGTAGCATCATATTGCAGTTACAGGGATTCCCCAACATACATCATGTGTATTATGACAGATGATTAACATGCAATGAGCATTAGCAAAAGTTTACAAAAATTTCGTATTTAGCTAAATCTCTCAGAGGAAGTCAGTTTAAATCAATTTAATGTTTTTATGTATTTCCCATTTAAGTACTGTTTCCATAGATGTCTCCAAGTTGAAAGCAGTAACAATAAAACACAGTGACTTGCATCAGTATTAACATTACGTAGTTTTTACACTGTACACATACCTAAATGGTAAAGATTCCAAAAGGACATTTTTCACTACTTTTGGTAATAAGACTTTTTTTTTTTTATTGATTATGCAGAAACATAAATGAAAAAAAAAAAAGCCAGTTACTTGTCTTCTGTAACCACAGCCAGGATGACTGTAGTGTCAGCACTTAAACCCAAAGAAAATACAGAATTTATTACAATCCTTGAACACATGGACTTTCCACTTATTTGCATAGACACCTCAGTTGGAAAACGCAGCAATATGAACAGTTCATGACATAGGTATAAGGTTAAATCCCCATCAGGAGGCCCTCCTGTAACATGTTGTTATCTGGTCCAGCAGCGCTTCTTTTTAAAACATTTTCAGACTTACTTGAATTATACCAAAATAACTATGGTCTTATACAGGCTAATTCCTACCTGACTACCATCCCTGTGCTACTGAATTCTTCAGGCCCAAGGCAGCTTTGTGGATGGCTTTGTGTTTTCTGGTTTTGGTTACTGCAGAAGTTCTCTCATGTGTGGTCTCAATCCAGCAAAGGGATTGTTTCAGAATGGCTTGATGTGAAGCAGACATGCTTTCCTCCCTCCCAGGGGAGTCATGAGAAGGGAAAAAATGAGGGCTTTTTGCTCACTAAATAAAGTTCACTGCAGGAAAATATCTACCAGATGAACACAGACTAATAAAGGAATAGCTGAAAATAAGTGAAGGGTATGAACAGCAGACTGCAAAGACAGTTCCTTCCTGGCGAGTTGGGCAAGTTTTGGGAGGAAGGGTTCAGGACCTTGACTGTCTGCAGCAGCAGGTCTCAGAGAAACTTCTTGCCCAATTTAAGGCTATCCTAATAGTGTTTACTATCTCATTTCAAGGAACTCTTCAACGATCTACTTTGATTTTCAGACAATAAAATGAAATGGGGTTCTCCATCTCACGTCAGTTGCATTTCCCTACTAAGACATTCAAGATATTTTTACACGTTTCTTCAATAATAATTGAGTCTTCCAGGGACTTTCCTGGTTCAGTCACATACTCTCAATGGAAAATTCAGTTAAGCAAACAATTTTGCCCCAAGGTTACTGACATTGCCAGATAACGATTCTGCATTTTCACTGATGATAGCTGTATCTCAGGACATCTAGGAATGTTAGGAGAGCTACAGATATATTTATTCTCCATAATTCCAAGTTACATAACATTCCCTGTGGGAGGTGATGTTATATGAACAAAAAATGTTACGAAAACAGCAAAGCCCAGATATTAATTACTCACTCGCAAATAATGGTTCTGGTTCTGATTGTCTGAAGTAAAAAGTAACTTTTTCCAAGTCAAACAATGCAACCAATGTATCTTCTAGCATGGCTTGCTCATCAGCCTAAAAAAGGCAAAAGGAAAATTGAAAAGGTCATTTCAGCCAGATGTTTTCCCCAACAGAAATAACATAAGAGAGCAGGACTTAAATTAACTACAGAATGTTGCGCAACATTTCACTGATGCAGTGTATAATCTATTTAACCCCTAGATAATGTAAATATCTTTGTTTCTATTGGCACTTTCCGTTTTATTACTAGCCAAGATTATAAAAATGAATGTTACCATTTCACATAGTAAATTAATTTGCAATTTATAGCTACCATTACTTCTTGTGGTTTTGTAAAATGCTGGATTATTATATTATTGGGTCAGAACCAACTCAAGCATGTGGGGGGCGTGGGGGAGGGATAGGTCAAATCTCATGGAGGTGAGGTAATGCTGTATCCCACATGCCAGCCCCTGTGAGTGTCCTGGGGCAACCCTGGAGCAGTTGTCAGTCACTGGACCCTTGGAGTCTGCTGGGCAACCCCAGGGCAGCTGCCAGTCAAAGCCAGCCTGGAAACACTTCAAGACACCACACTCCCCGGAGCCCACAATCCAGTCTTAGGTTGGCTGGCACACCAGGAGCACCGCCCCTCACTCTGCCCCAGAGCCACAGAATGGCCAGTGGGCCAGAAGTCCCGCCTGACAGGAGTGGCCACAGGCGGTAAGCACATAAAAACAGCAACACATGGCTCCATTTTCACTTGAGACCTACCATGAGGAAACTGGACTTACACAGGACTCATTGATGGTAGATCTTTTTCTCTTACTCTCTCTCTTTCTTTACTCCTAATTCTTCTCTTAATCATCTTTCTTAATATTTTGGGTAACTTGGTAATAAGTTGGATTTTGCTAAATTTTATGGGTTAGCAACTGCTAAGTCTATGCATTGTGGAATGCTTTGTTTTTGTTGTTTGTTACCCTTTTAAGCTTTTGCCAAGTTCTCTTATTTACTCCCTTATTTTCTAAAGTTATCAGTAAAAGTATCTCCTCAGAAAACTTGTGTAGCATATTCTCCTTGTTCTACCTCAAGGTATTAAAGAAACAAGGGCTCTTCTAAATATTTGGTGGGGGAATTTTTGGAGCCTTGTATATTTTTTAAAGTAAAACTCCTGGTTGAGCTTGTAGCTCCAGAGCTGGGGTCTTACAGGCTTTTAATCAAACCATCTTGTCATTATTCTGTAAGACACCTGACTGTAACACCTTGTCCTGACACAAGGTCTAATTTGTAAAGAAACAGAGGGGAAATGTGAAAACTGAATTCTTCTTTTTAGAAATTTTCTTTAAAAAATACCATAACTTTAGGATTTCACTTATGAACAAAGATAAGAGTTCATTGTGTCCACTCCAAGCACCAATAATTGAACCAGCAGTTCAGAGCAAGTACAGCTCAGGGTGACTTGCACTTTTACCTACAAAACTCTAGGTGCAAGTCAAGTATGTAGATATGCCAATATTCTGATTTGCACCTATGGTTCACTCTGTGTACTCCTGAGCTAAAGAGATAGTTAAAGAGATCCAGGACTTCTCAAGACACTTCACTAAATCTTTAAAAAAGAAAATATGGTTATCTTGACTTAAATGTTCAGAGCAATTACAGCAGAAATCACTAGTCACTTAAAGTAATTCTATTCCTTACACAATGCTCCCCTAGCACTTCAGGTTAGAAAGAGCCAAAAGGGAATCTGAGGCTTGCATTTGTCGTAGGTTTCTGTGGCTGGGTTTGCTTTTTTTTTGGTAGCGGGGGGGGCTACACGGGGTGATTTCTGTTAGAAGCTGCTAGAAGTTCCCCCCTCCCCCCCGTGGAGCCAATGATAGCTGGCTACAGGAGGGATTTCCTGCTGATGGCCGAGGGAGAGCCAATTGTTGCGTCTCTGTGATAACATATTTAAGAAAAAGTTTGTTGCACAGAAGAAATTGGAGCCAGGGGAGTTGCCAACATGGCCCTAGCCCAGGGCAAGTGTGGTGCTGGAGCCGAGCCGGCCCGGGCAGGGGTGGTGGCCACAGCCTGGGGCCCCACAGCAAGCTGGCCCAGGGCAGGCACGGCAATGGAGTTGAGCCGGGACAGGCCGGCCCCGCCGGCGGGCACTGCTCCCTCTCCCATTGTGGCCAAGCCGAGGTGGGCCGGGACGGCCCCACTGCATTGCAGCTGAGCCCATGCGGGATCAAGTGGATGCATGAAGGAGAACTGTAACCCTCGTGGGAGGCCCAGGAGGGAGAGGGGTCCTTCCCAAGATCTGTGACCTGTGGAGAGGAGCCTGTGCTGGAGCAGGTTGTTCCCGGGTAGCACTCAACTCATGGCCCTGTGGGGGACCCACATTGGTGCAACTCATCCGTTAAAGACTGCATCCTATGAAAAACCATCGGGGTGCAGAGATCCCCTGCACCCCATGGAGGAATGACCTTCAGGATGACAGATATGGAAGATCTGCGGCCCCGGGGGGGTGGAACCATGTTGGAGAGGTCCATTAAGGACTGCTTCCTGTGGGAGGGACCCCATGGAACAGGGGAAGGACTCCGAGCTTTGGCCCCCCTGTTGCCAGTGGTGAAGACCATGGTAAAGCAGGCTGTCCCCTTGCAGTCCATGGAAGGGTGACCCACAGGACAGCAGACTTGGAAGACCTGTTGCCCTATGGGTGGACTTCTCTTCCTGCACTGATGCAGGGGGAGGAGGGAGAACATGAAAGGAAGGAGGGGTGGTTGGAAAGTGTGTTTAAGACTGTTTTATTTCTCACTCTTTAGCTCTTATTCTGTTAGTAATAAATTTTAGTACCATGCTCACACGGAGTTTTGTTTTGCCTGTGTGACTTCTCCCAGCTCTTAGTGATTTTAGTGGGTGCCTAGAATATGGCCAGGGTCAACCCACGACAGCATTTTTCCCCCTCGAAGAACTGAAACAGTAAGGAGGCAAAGAATAATAAACTAGCTGCCCCTAAATTGAGAATAAACTATAGTTTACTAAATTAAAAAACAGAAAAAAAATCCCATGATTTTCCCGGATCTGTATAGTGAAATAGCATTCCCCCTTGTACTTATGAAAAAGCAAATCTGCTAGAAATATCTTTTCTCCTGGTTCTATTTAAAAAGTCTATGGACAGAGAGTGATTTTGTCAGCAGAATAGTCTGAAAACCATACAGTGGCACGGGAAATCCTTGCACTACTGCTCATTCTTTATTGAACTCTGGCCATAACGAGTGTAATTTCCTTGTTTAAAATAACACGGATCATTTGTAAGTCAAATAGTGCTGAGAAGGTATTAAAAAATTTGCCTTTAAATTTCCCTTGGTTAAGAAGTGTTAGATAGAAAAGACAGAAGTTTATTTTCAATTTGACAATGCATTCTACTGGTATCTGATTATGTGAAAATAGCTAAGTAGCACACATTTTCACTACAAAGGAAATCACTATGATCTTGAAAGAAAAAATATAAGTATTCAGTGCTGTAAAGACAACAGTTGCTTTGTGGTAAGATGACAACAAAGCACATAGAAAAACATAAGACAGACATCGACTGAATTTACTTTTGAACTCTAAGGATTCCAGCACTGGGACATGTTGATGCTGCATGGTGCCAAAAAGCATCCAAGACTCAAGACATGAGTCTAAGCTCCCTGGTGCTTTCTTCACATATTCCTCATATGGATAAAGAGCTCCTGTTTCTCTGAGGCACTGATTTTATCTGTTTGTAAGTTGCACATGTTGTCCTGATACAGCCTGTCCCATGAAAGCCCACACTGGTACCTCAACTGCCTGTGAGGTAGCTGCTCACACTGGCTCAAGTCAATGCTCTCCAACAGTAGCATAGACTAATACATTATGATTGTGATTTAGAAATGCCTTTATTTTTTTTTTGTCTCTTCTACTTCTTAAGTTTCTCAGGTCACTTGTCAGCAAATCTCCTGCCAAGATAGACAAGGAAGGGAAAGAACACCTTTGATACTAGAAACATCATCTGTTATTTACGTGGAGTTTTATACAGTGTGATGGACCAAATCAGTTATTTTCAGGGAGCAGCCCCAGAGTTTGAGAAGACTGTCATTGAGCAGACTATGCAGACTACTTCATGGTTCTTCCAGTTAGCAGGAACTCATCTAGTGTGAGAAGCATCTTAAATAGCTGAAGAAGCACTTTGGATAACTGAAGATTAAAGGGCTACAAAGCCATGTCCCTTATTTAATTGTTTCTTAAGCCATGGCTCTTTGCCAAGGCTTGTGAAGAAAGAGCCAATTTCCAATTTCACTGATAGGCTACAAGGATTTTCCCTATAACAAGCAAAACAGACCAGCATGTTTAGTCCTTCAGCTACTACAGACCTATAGGTATTTGGGGGGGAAAGGGTGATAAAATTAACTAAATTAGATACTTTATTTATCTTGCATTGTTGCTTATTGCAAAATGAAGTTTTAGTTATCACCTAATACTACATTCACTCCCAGGGAACAGCTATAACAGCAATGGGGAGTCAAGGGTAAACTCCCTATCTGCTAACTCCAAGCAAATGGCTTGGCTTTTTGACTTGGCAATTGACTATGGCTTTTTGGATTTTTAGCTTTTTGTAGATTTTAGAAGTAGCTGTATTATATCCTTTACCCTGTAGCACAGTAGTTTACACATTAACCCAACACTGTTACCCCATTCCATATCACTCTCTCAAAATTCTGTTAGCTTGTTTAGACTTCCCTCAAGGTAGGCCTTCATTCTGTTTAAGAACATCTGCACCCTGGCCTGGACAACAAGATACTGTGCGGGCACAGCAACCTTCAGACCCAGAGCTTTGGAGGAACTCCCAAGGACTGAACGTGCTGTGATGAAGAGGAGGCTGAGGAAGAGGGGATTCCAGAGCCCCATGCCTCAATTTCCAGAGGGGCATGCTGGGGGGGAGGTGCTGGGGGGTGGATAGATCTGGGATTGGATGGGTTAATACCTTAAATTGTGGAACCCCATGGACATGAGGATACATAATATGTATTCCTATGGGCCTCACACCTGGAATTAAAGGACCTACCCTCTTTATCTTATCTTACACACTAAGTTGGCTCGGAGTCCTGTTTTCTGCAGTCTCTTAAGGTAACACAAACATAATACTGTCTTTGTGGAAATCATATTTCCCATATCATAACCAAACATATCCCACATCGGTAATTATCTGAATTGCAACTTTGGTCCAAATAGCAGCTAATTAAGTACCAAGGTAAGCACAAAGAATGCAGAAAATCACATTTATATATCTAAGACTGTTTAACCACATCCCTGGTTCAGTGAATGAACAGGAGCTGTGGCCAAGCATGCCACATGGAGAGTCTTACCAGGTTTGGCGAGAGCAGGGACTGAAAATGAAGGAGAAGACCTGCACTGGCTATCTGTTCCAACCACCTTCTGCTGGCCTCCAGCGTCTCCATTTCATATTCTTTGTTGTTGTCAAACATCTGATTTAAGGCCACCATTAGCTGCTCTGAAAATGCACAGACTGTGGCCACTAGGCTCTGACAGAAGACCATGTCTCGCCTCAGTTGTATCTCGCTATCTGTGATGGGCAGAAGCCAAAAGAGGAAAAGCAAAATGGAGCAGGAGATTAATTAACAGCAAAGGAACTGGGCTGGAATTTTTTTCTTTGGCTAAAAACCATGTCACTTTAATGTCAAGTAAATTACAAGGTTACAGCCTAATGTTATTCCTCGTAAATAGTACTTCACGACCAAATATTTTAATGTGGAAAATGGCAGATTATTTTCTAATTCTAAAATTATATATGAGTGTATTTAAAATCTGGAATTTAAAGTATTTCTTCACAAACAATGTACATTTATCTTGTATATTTTGATGTACATGCTATCAGTTCTAAGTACATGTCACAAGGCAATGGATGTGAGTTAGATCTCTCTGCTGCAATGTGAGAACAAACTGGACACAAAAGCATTTACTTTCCACCAGAAAACAAGGATAGTAAGAAGCTGTGAATATGACTGCATCATCTCCACAGCTATCAGCTGAGGAGGGCAGATGAACACTTTCTGCTATAAAGCCCAGAGTGTTGCTACCAGAACACAAGCTATCCAAATACAATATATATGAATATATACATATGAATATGAATCTATAAAATAAGCACAGAGCAGCATTACATATTCAGGAAGCAGAAGAAATTTACAGTGTCAGGAAAGTTCAGGAGGAAGGTCCCTAGGTAGATGTCTATGGATCATTAGCAGCTGATTTAAATTAGGGACTAGCTAACCTATCAATTTATTCTGGAGGGCACAGGCATTAGATTAGCTAAAGGTCAAAAGAGTTAGAAATGGAAACATATCCTTAATAAAGTACAAAACTGTGGTGATAAATATTCAGTGCTTCCTTCTCTTCTTTCCTGAAGGTCTTCAAGTAATTTTATCATTATGAGCTATTAGGCAAACATCAGTCACAATGGTACAGGTAGACTTAATCTTTCTCAGAGCAAGAGAAGCAGATCAGGTGATACTGAGGTCTTTCCAAAACCTAAAATATTTGCCCTCACTTCTAGAGTCCTCTGCCCCTTTAGGTTTAGCTCCTTTTCCACCTTCTCTATGGACCTGATGAGAATTTAGATGACTGGACAAGTCAGCAGAAATAATTCTGTACTCAAAAAATTACCATTGACTTTAAAAATATATTTTTCTTGGGCTCCAAGTATTTCTCAAACTAATCCCATTCTGTCTGCTTTCCTTTTGAAATCTTATTCATTCTTTTCCTCAACTACTGATAATGGTGAACACTCTTTTACTATCATTTCTATTCCATTTTCCAGCTTTTCAGGACCTTGGGAATGTTTTCCATAAGTGGTCAAATCACTACTATTTCTGCACTGTGACTCAATGCTTTTTGTTTTGATTACTCAAATTAACCTGTCTCTCTCTTTCTCCAGTATCTCAAGTTGTGCAAATCCAATACAGACAGAATTTTCATCTTTAAAAACTCCACATACCTCCAACTTCAAAAATCCCACTGGCTTCTCCATGGTCAAAACTTTTCCAATGTCACACTCAGGGATTTGAGTCCAAAACACATTCTCTCTCCTTGCTTTGCTCAATTTTCTCTCTGTCTAACAGCAGCTGACTTTCGATGCCTTCCTCTGTACTGCCTGCTTCTGAAGCAGCCCTCTTGTGTCTCCAACACCTCATTTCTAAATCTCATTTAATACTACTCGAACGTCATGCATACAAGAGCACTTTGGGCTTTTATTACAAACCTATTTTTAAACAAAATAAACTATAGAATTTACTGACTTATAAACCCATGTAAATAGGGAAAACTGCTTTAAAAACATGAAGTCTAGGTTATTTGCTCAGGTCATTCCTTATTTTACAACACGTGAGGAATTACTAAAAGCTTTTCTAATATTTTGAAGAAATCTGACAACAAAAAAATGCTATATTTCCCTTTATAAAATTGTATGTTGTGCATCATAACAAAAATAATGAAATAATAATGCATTCATCTAGTGATGCAAGATGGTTAAAATAATCAGCTTTTACAGTTAAATTGGACTGCCTACTTCAACACTTATGCACCTACAAACTGTAGAGAAACTTGGGCCATATTATTTTCTAAATACTGATTCACTGACATTTATTTTGCAGACACACATGCCTATTTTGTGTATTTGAAGCTGTGCGCTGTATGGGGTGATGGGAGAATTAATACACAGAATAATCAGAGCCCTTCCAAGAAGGAGGGACTTAAATTTCCTCTAAAATAAGATAAAGAGAAGGTATGGGTTAAAATAGTAAGGTAAGTTTGGAAACAGATGGGAATGAAAAGAAAAATAGCAAATAGGAAAAAGTCCAAAAAAAGAAAGACAGCAGAGGTACTGTGCACAAGCTGAGTGTTTAGTTGTTTCTTTATCTGCCAAGATCCAGAGTAAACAACCAGATAAGGCATTTTGCATTTAAAAAAAAAAGTGCAATGTTTGTTAAAAATGTCTAGAATTGTGTTCTTCGGGAATCATCATTATAAACACAGGGGTAAAATCATTGATTATCAGGTTTTATAATCTCTGACATTTTTCCCCTTTCTCTAAACATAGTATTCTGTCCAAAAGCAAAAATAATCTCAAACTATCCACATTAACTTCCCCTCCTCCAAAAACAAGCAAAATTACCTGTATACTCAAGAAGTGCCAAGAGTATTCGTGCCTTCACCTCTTAAAGAAAAAGAAGAAAATATTTTGAGGTCCTGGGTAAAAGTGTTTTCACAAACATAATAACGCATTTGCAGTTTCTCATTTTACCATCTTAACTCCAACTTCTTGTGTAGGAAATCCTGATTTATACTTACAAAACAGTAATGAATCTCAACTTCTCTTAATTGTATATATAACTTGATAAAAATTGATAATAATCAAAAGCACCAACAATGAGAAAGACACATGAAGAGGTAGCTGCTATCTGAGAGCACATGTGTACCAGCTGGTCAGTGTAAGTCCACATATGAAGAATTTCAGTCTTAAAACTTTGAAAAACAAGACAAGTTTTCATTGATTCCCAGAGTACCCCAATTCTTTCTTCTCCCTCTCTTGTACCCTCTTGTTCTATACTTAAAAAATCTCAAATTATCCTCATTTTAATGTATACTATAGGATCTAGGAAAAATACAACATTATTTTCCTTTTTCTTGGCCTGCAGGGGTTTTTTGCTTCAAAAATTTCACTTAACAATTTATGAAATAAAAAAAATACAATTTAAAAAAAAAAGTCTCAATTTACACTAAATTTTTGAGTTATATCTCTTAACACTTCCCCTCCACCACTTTTTTTTCTTGGAGGGGGCTGCTTCTCGAAGTTTGCAGACTGAAGGAAGTGATTCTTCCACTTTATGTACCAGAGCACAAATTTCATTGTGTTAACCACCACTGCAAGAAAGGCAGATCAAAAAGCTGCCATAAAATTAGAGAGTTTCAAACTTCCAGCACATCAGTTGTCCTACAGGTACTAAGTGCAGGAATACAACACTGTTCACACACTTTCACATCGTTCCAAACTTTCTTTCACACACCCAGTCTTCTCTGCAGTTCTGTTCCAAGTCCTGCTCTGTCAACCAGTGGAACTGCCATTGTGTATATGGACAGTAAGAAAATTTGTCACTGTGTGTTTCCCCCTACTTGAATGTATCTATGAAAAGCCAGAATCTTCGCCAGTGGTGACCAGGCTGGAAAAAGAAGAAAACCTTTCAATCCTGGTCTTTAACCGTGCTGTACACACATTGCAAAATGAAGTGGCAGTGCCCATGCTTCTGAAGTACCAGCCCACAGTATCTCAAATACAAACACCAAATCATTTAAAATTACTGGTTATTCTTGAAATTTGCAAGGTCTTTATCTTTGCCTTAGCCTTAGCCTTCTGTCTTTTGAAAAAAACCCACATAAGTTACAGAGAAAAATAACTTGGCATCTTGGAGCCTGAACATAGTTTAATAACTGAAAATAGAGAAATATAGTTTTTATCTGAATAATGTAGATACACTGAGGATATTAATTGCAGCTTGTTTTACATAAGATTTGCTGGATCTCTGAATTCAAAAGCATTTGAGGTACCTATAAATAATGATTTCCTGCTTATGCGAAAATTACAGAACACTGTAACTCTATCACTGCTGTCAGTCTTGTATGTTTCAAAACATACCTACAGGCAAAAGAGTATTTTTAGGTTATTTGTATAGAGACTTACCTGGGGTTAGAAGTGAACCTTGGACGTCAATCATTTGCTTTTCAACAAATATGGAAGTTCTCACTACTTCTTGCTACGTGTTGTATGGAAAGAAATAACTCCCCACCAATTTCTCTTTAGAGTATGATTTGTAATGCAAGATGCCTTCAGTTTCTTTTATTTTTAAGCATTCTTTTGCACCTTATTTAAAAAACCCACATTATTCTGCTACTTTATCGTTTCCAGGAAACACTAGATTTTAGTTTTGTTTTTCACATCTGAAAATATTTTTAAAATATTTAAAAAATATGATTTAAATTGACATACTTTTTTTTATACCTTCAATGACTGAAAGGCTCCTTCATGCCTCACTACTAATTTAAATTAAAATAGATGTGGACTTTCTCAATTTTATTGTATTTCCTGTTTAAACTTAAAATTACTGTGCTAGAAAAACAACTGCACTTCCTCATGTAGTTACATGACTAGCTGACTAGAAATATAGAGATGCTTTAAAACATCTCTGCTTTTGACCAAAAATCTTACCTTTTTTTCTTTGGGAAAAAGCAACTACAGAAATGTCTCCTTTTCTTTGACCAAGAATCTTACCTTTTTTTTTCTTTGGGAAAAAGCAACTACAAAAATGTTTCCCTTCTTTGTTCTGTTTACACCTTTCTGTTGTTGAGTCCCTCTCTTTCTATCCATCTTGTTCATTTTCCTGGTTCCTACTAGTCATTCCCCAGCTTTTCCTCATGTGCTTTCTGATTCCCATATTACGTATCTGACACAGATACAGAATCATGTACCTACATTATTCTTTCTCTATTCAGTGACTGTTCATTTCCTGCCCTGACTTCTGCTCTCTCCACTAAAATCAAGCACTCCATCTTCAAAGATCTACCTGCACCAACAATGCATCTTTAGTTTTACTGGTTTAACAATTTAGTAGGCCCAGTCACTCCAAGAAATAACTTCATTCTTTTCTTTAGTTACTTATCTCCAGATAAGTCCCCCTAAAATCTGCATGCTATTTCAGAGAACTCTTCAATTCTAACAACTAGATTAGCCTTCTAGGACTGCCTTTTATGGTAATCATAGAAAATTTTTCTTTCTCTAATGATACAGTAGGGCAAATGAAATGAGTCAAAGCAATCTCCATATATATTTTAAGTCTGCTGTCAACAAAGCTTTGGTTGTGTTTTTTTCTGTGTTCTGTTTTTTTTTTTTTTAATTGGAGTAAACCTTCATGGATTTTTTTATTTATTTTTTTTTTAATTTTTCTTCTAATTCCAATACTAATAAAAAGAAAACTGACAGATTAAAGCAATCATCATCAAGGTATTCTGAGTTTTCCCACTTCTTCACATTTTTTTAAAAAAAGTAAATAAAAAGAATCTTAATATCTAGGACTTTAAACATCTCATCTTTGTGGGGCTCCCATGTCTCCTCCTGCTTTAAAGCACTAATCAATTTAACCTAATAGTGCAGTGCAACAGAACAATGAATAAAAAATTACAGTAGCCTCTGATATTTGCATAAAAAGAAAGTATTCATCCTTACTTTAGCATTGATTAGTAATGCTTACATATATTTATAATAACTGGAGGTTTTAATTAAAATTTCCCCCCCCAGGTGAATGAAGTTGTATCTGTGGTCTGCTTTGACCTCTCTTAAACCTGCTAGAAGAGACAAATATATCTGCTTTCCTCAATTATCGAAATATTGCCTCCTACTTATAAACCAACAGGAAGACTCTTCTAAAATCTCAAGATATTATTCAACTTGTTCTCAGAAGCCCAACTAAACAGTCAAATGAGGTGATATCTTCTGGGTTTTTTCTGAATTAGGCAAATATGAGGAGAAATGAGGAGAGGACTCTGTACCACATGTTAGGTTTTCAGCCAGAAATAGCTCAGGGCAGTACTATTGGTTCTCCTAGGTATCCTGACCATCTTTGAATACAATGTAGGATGGCAAGACTGGAAAGGAAAAATTAAGAAATGAAGATATGAAGGGAAAATTTAGCTGTTTAAAACATTTTAACCCTGTTTTGTGCTCATCTGATTTCAGTTAAATCCAGCTGCTGGTTGTGTCTCAAGTTTAATTTATATAAGCCTAAACCTGTCTAAATCATAGCAGTATCCCAAAATTTCCTGAGAGGAATAATTCTGCCCTGAATCTTTTCAACACTGAATTACATATACCTGTCCAAACATGCCTTGGAAACTAAGGCTTGAGAAGCAATTACTGACTTCCATTCCTCTATTTCTTCTTCATTCTATTCGTGTCAGGGAAGTCACAAGAACACAGGCTTTCAGGTATCCATTGTATCACACCCGCTCTTTGGTCCCCAGGAAAATCAAATTTACAATGAAGATGTGGATCATGATTCCCCAGAGTGCTTCTCAGGAAGAGGCATTAGTGATCCCAGTTTGGGACATGGTGGTGGTGGAATAGGAATCAAATTAATGGAAAAAAAACTGTAAGAGACTAGAAAGATGTAAAGACTGATGGTGAATAAACGACCTAAGATTTTACCTGTAAATCCATGTATTTGGGTAAGATGATGGCACAGGAGCCACTTGTAAATCTCCGACAAAGGCTCAGATGCCATAGACAGAAAGGGAGAGCCAACAATATTTAAAACTGGCAGACATCTTTTGATACACATTGAGGAGAGAAGGTAAGGCAGAGTGTGTGATGCTCTTGAACGGCACAAGAATAATGCCTTTTACTATTTAGCTCTCTGAACCAAGCACTATTCATAAGCATGTCAGCTGCAATAGTTAGTTACTGTAATTTATTAAGAGAAACAATGTTTCATCCTTATTTGTAAAACACTAGAAAATGCAAACAGTTTTATTGTTCTGTAAACATCAAGATTTTTCTGATAAATAGGACTATTACATTATAGTAGTATACAAAAAAAAAAAAATTGTATCATAGAGAAGCAGCAAGTCATTTGGACCTTGCTGAACTCTCCCACAAAATTTTGTGTAGATTTAACCCCAAATTTATTTGAATAATCTCAGCTCAATACTGAGGGTATATGACCAATGTTAAAATGGGTTAGGTCTACTAATTTTATTTATGGGTAAACAAGTTATGTGAAAATGGTCTGGTAAGCTAAGCTTCAGAAAGGGTGCAAGGAAGGACTGTTGAAGACACATTTCCATTCCTCCTCAACTGTGAAAGAAATTCTGATTAATACTTGAATATAATTTGGCTTAGGATGAAGACAGGCCTCTAGAAAAAAAGGATTAAAAAATATTTATTGAAGTATTCACTCAGTGATAGCTAACATTAAACTAAAAGAAGTATTCCTAGTATCAGATCAACCCATGTGATTGACTCCAGAAAGAGGAGATATTTATGACACTGTTTTTTCCAGTTTTCTAACACAAGGTCTGAAAATATGATTGTATCTGAAATCAGAAATACCAAAAGTCAGAGAGGGAGGAGTTTGTTTGGTTTGGCTGGTTGGTTTTAGAAAGTTTATCTTAATAAAACTTATCACCAAGTTCTTTTCCAGTGATCTGGTATTTAACAGTTTTTTTATGGGACACCATGGAAATTAGCCCACAAAACAGAAGAAGCTAAACACACACAAATAATTTCAAGCTAGACCCGACATAAGTTTTTGTTACCACACAGACTCCTAGTGCAAGGGTTTGTATCAAAATAATTTTGTTCATTTTTCTGTTTCTTTAGCAAACAGCACAGGAAATAAAGCAGAAACTACAGGCAAGATATTCTGGAGAGGAAGTCCCAGTTGTTTTCTTATGAAGACAGGGGAGAAAGCAGAAAACCTCAGTTCACATTGTCACTTGATGGTGAAGAGGAGCAGAGTACTTGGTGGTAAAGAGGAGGAGTAGTTGGTAACTTCTAGACAGTAGTGGGAGGGAGGAGGAGTGATAGCATCAGTTGGGATGGATTAAGTGAAGACCGTGGCTTTATGGCAAAAGTGGGAGCATGACTTTAGAGGGATAATGACAGAGGGATAATGTCTCTGTCCAGACAAAGACAGAGAAGACCAAGACATAGGACAAAAGCTGTCCTGCAGAGTTTTCATCTTTCCATTTAGACAGTGGAAAATCGAGTTTAATTTCAAGAAAAGCTTCAATTTGGGGTCTACAGGGTAAGCACAAGACAGCTGAGATAAACTCCGCTAACCTTGTCATTAAGAATGCAAAGAAGTCCTGTAGTCTACACCGGGTTCAGCAAATCTTGCCTAGCAGCATCATGAAGCAGTTGTATCTCTTCCCTTTCTTTCCCCTCCCTTGGCTCTGTATCATTAATCCAGTGCTTATTTATGATCATGTTGTTCTTACTAACCTTCAACAAATTTTCTGATATTCTGGGCAAGACTCCGGACGCTGCTGGGAAGGTTCCAAGGGTCTTGCTTGATGTGGAGTCGTAGCCTCTTTGGACAGTTAAGCTTTGGTTCCATTTCCTGCTGAAACTCTAAGCAAGGATAAAAATAGTATTTTTCTGCTTAAATGTCCTGAGAAAGCCACAATAAGACATTATTTCTTCCCAAATGTTTTCCCTGCTCAAGGAGTTGTCAACTTATTTAACTCTAGTTAAAGCTATGGTGATGGGTCTAACATCTAAGCTCTCTACTTAATCCAAGGAGAGAACGAACAGCATCCCCAAACATGATTCTTTCTGAACCAGATACATAACACAGAAGGTACATGTTTCCTTGGAGTAAGTGGGACCCTGGAACTTTTAGAGGCAAAATTACTTCAATCAGAAAATTAAATTTAAACCAAAATTACTTATTGCTAGTCTATCTTTCAAATAATTGAAGTGCTTCTTGTACAGTTCATGAGGATGATGCAGATTAAGAATAACATATCTGATGTGTCTATATATTGTGTCTAACTCTACATTTATTATGCCACATTTTGTTGTGCGACCCTGCTCTAGGTTCATCTCCATTATCTTAGTCCCAAAATTGGAAACAACAAAAAAACCCCCAAAACCCCCCAAAATGATTGGGATACAGTAATTATGCACTGTTGATTTCAGTGAGATCTTGATACACTCTGTACTACCTTCTTACTACACTCTGGCCATCTAAAATCAGTTTTCTTTGCCAACAGACATGTAGGATCAATAAAACTTCTTATACATATTAATACAACTTTCAGTTTCCTGCTGAACCTTTTTCTTTTTTTTTTTAAACTCAGTTCACCAAAAGAAGTCCTTTGTATTTTTCATCACAATCTTATGACTACCACTAGATACCTATTTATACACTTAGACTTGGGCAACTATGCAAGAAGTGTTAGTAGATTATCTGAATTTACCTACAGGATATTTTTTTAAGCAACCAGTGATACTTACATAAGCATATATTTGGTATAAATACTTCTGTGACTATAAATTTACACTCACAAATTATTTATAAATCAGCTTCAAAAATAATATAACTACAAAAAAAAATAAAAATCTGGCATTAGTAATAAAACAGATCAGGAATGGCTTCAGTAGTTGAGGCAAAACTGTAATAAAAACACTTGCAATATAAAAAACCTACTTCTTGCTGCAAAAACCTCAGCAATGCTAGTCAGTTCAGAGTCTACAATTCAGTTGACTTTCCAACAAACCTGAAATCCTTTCATACATTGTGCAATAGAAGTGTAAGAAGCCAGTTTTCAACTAAGAATTAAGATCTAATTGACATGAATTTCGACAATTTTTGCAGAATACACCAAGATCAAGCAAAATCAGTTCTTTAACAACCAGCTTAAGGAGTGGATAGCCATATCCATGCCCTCTTTAAGCTGCCTTTTCATTCTGATAGCTAGAATTAAGTGTTACCTTGGAGGCCTCGACCTGGTGTAAAGTATTTTGTCTGTTCAAAGGCCCTCATCACAGCTGGTCCTTTCAGAAGACTTACAATTGAATCAACCTGTTGGGATCAAGGTTCTGTGAGAAAGATGTATTTTACAGCAACAGTCAGAAATTCTTTCTTTAAGAAATATGACTACAGACAAGCAACTTTGGATTCTTTCTTACCTAATGGGTCTAGTTAAGGTAACAAGCTAGGGAATGTTAGACTAAATTTAAGGACCTGTTTAAATTGCAGGTTTGGACTATTTACAGAAAACTGAAGGAAAATGAGTAAATACATACCATCCCAGTAAACAGTGGAAAGCAAAAGTAAAAAGAAAAAGAAGTATTTTCGAAAGACATCTTAGCTCAAACACAGACATTAGTATCAAAGCCAAGGAAAATAATCACATACTTGACCAAAAAGATGCTCCAAGCAGCTATGGAGCTTGTCCTGTTTATCATGGGAGATTCGAACACTTATGGGAAGCTCATCGCCTGAAAAATATTTTAAAATGAAAAACTGTTCAGAAGTTACAGAATGTTTTACCAAAGCTTTGAATCTTAGATAATTTGCTTTGCACACAGACTGATGTCTTTCAGGATTATAGTAACTGTACTCCCTACATACTTTGCATTTACTAGTCACTCAATAATACAGAAATAGCTCTTAAAGAAAGGACCCTATTAAAAGCGCAAGTGGTCAAGGTCCTGGAAAACCTGCTCTGCATGAGCCTGCTTGAGGAGGGGACTGGACTGGATGATCCCTAAAGGTCCCTTCAAACCTCAACCATCCTGTGACCAGAACACACGATTCTTCTATGCTGGAGAACATACTAAACATCTAAGTAGTGTAAATCTAATGTAGCAAACCACAAAGTCACTGAAATGCATTCACCATAAAGTTTCCAGAGGGACTCCACAGACAATTCACTGTCTTAATGATCTTACTAATTAAATGGTTATGAGAATTCAGTAATTCAACAAGAATACAACATCCATATCCTGTATTTCATATAAGTTTTTAGTAGTACATACCACATAATTTCCTAAGAGAGTGCAAAGGAGAAAGACTCTCTTAGGTCATTGTATTGGCACTCGCTCTCTCTCAGACAGCAAGTGATGCAAGCCAAACTCTTTCAAAAACTGTGAGAAACTGAGCTTAAAACTGGTTTTCCTACTTGATGGTACAGTGACATATAAGAAGTAGCCACTTGATAATTTATAATCCAAATATATTCATGGTCAATCTAGTCACATCATTCTTATGTCAGTGAAACACTCATACAGCATTACTTTTTCTTTTTCAGCTCCTTTAGTTTCCCTTACAGTCAGCAGTTATACCCCTTGACAGGATTTTAATTGCATCAGATGGAGCATGGTGCCCAAGAGCACTGATCTGGAGTTAGCCAGGTTGGCTTTGGAACTAGGAGAAAATTAAGTCATCCAAAGAGTGAGAGTTTCACTGAGCAGCAGTATTTATCATCTTGAACACCGTACTGTGTTTGGCTAGCACAGATATATTATTTTAGGCACCTCAGTTGGTACTACAGTTTGATGCTGCACAGACAGATATCAGCTCATTTACATCTTAAGCTGAAGATCCAGATCCTGGGTCTTCTCTTTTATAAACAGTTCTCTATGTCCTTCATCCTTTCCTCTGTATTTGCTCAGCTCTGTAAGAGCCTTATTCACATTATTCTGCATTATTCACAAGCTATTTCAGATACCTTACATAATGTCTTAATACTTTTCTGTCCCAACTGAAAATTCTTCTCCTGGTACAACCAGCAATAAAAACTTGCCTTCTCTATGGCCAAATCTCACTGGTGGCTCATATTCAACTAATACGCCCAGTTCTTTCTTTTCCTAAGTCATTCTCAAATGATAAACTCCCAGCTTAGAGCAAATATTTTTTTATTATTACTCCCTGAGTATATGACCTTGTACTCCAAGCAGTTAAATCTCATCTCATTCCTATTAGCAGCTGCATTTATTTAAATTCAATTTGTCACGGCATAAACAAGAATGTGCTTCTATGTGGTCTCACATTCCTTCCTACAAACATACACAGCCATATCCTGCCCTCTGGGTGCTGACACAGGCTGGGAGAGCATTCCACGCTCACCTAAAATGCTCCTTGCTCTGTGCAACATAATGCACTGTCAAGGTCAAGACATGAAAGACTTTAAAAGCAGTGCCTCCAAGAGCTCTTCTAATAGAGTCGATTCACAGAGACACTGGTATGTTGCATCTCTCTCACAGAAGGACTCTTAAGTGCAGCACTAGCTAGGCAGAAGCAAGATTATGCACTTCTATTATGAAGGAGGATGCAATTTTTAAAACTAAAACAATAAAACTGCCATGCAAATTAAAGTAATGAAATTGAATAAAAGCAACAGATGACAGATTCATAGCTGACTTTTCTAAACATACCTGAATCCATTTCATCACTGTGAAAATAAGAACTGCACTGACTGCTACAAATGCTGGTGAAAGAGGCAATGGAGTTCCTATTGCTGTTGCAATCGCTTGAAAATAAAACACAAAACAAAAAAAGAAATAAAGTTATGTTCTTTAACAGACTCCGTAACAAAGTTATGGAATTTTTTTCCTTTTTCCTCTCTTAAATTTAATGAAGAGGCGATCTGTGTAATTCTTCATACACAATAAAGATCCCTGTGCTTAGGTTATCATTTAATTTGCAATCCTAGTAGGACTGAGAAGTTTCCCAAAATAGATGCTTCGATTGTCTCCCTTCACCTTGCATATGAACAGTTACTTGCAAAATGGTAATATACACTTTCAATGCAAAACAACTAACTTTTATTACACAAATTGCAGTTATTGAAACTGTGGCCTAAAATGTTTTAGTGACTCTACATTTACTCCTGGTCCACAGCTAATAAAAATGTCAAGACTTTACAACTTGCAAAATAGTGTCCCATAATGGGTTTATAAGAGATTTGATCCATTTGAGTAGCCCCAAAACTCAAATTACAAACTATTTTTCTTGCCAGCCAAAAGATAGTTTATGATCCCATTTTTTCCAGCTGTTCATTTTTTTTAGAAATGTATAGACATTTATATCTGTGGTTTCAGTTAAAACTTCTATGCACACAATATGTCACCCATATTGGTCTAGTAAGGAGATTTTGGAATTAAAATTTGTGGGTTTTTTCTTCTCTTTTCTCTCAAAATAAATTGTTGTGCATAGAAAATACATGGAGAATATACCTACTTCGGCAGCAAAACAAGAGTAAGACATACACTTTTGTACTAAAAATCCTATGAAGATAAATCTGAATTCACAGTCTTCAGAGTTACTTAGCCACATGGAGATCATTTACTTTCAGTGCAGGAAATGCATAAATAATCATCCAGAAGAGAGAGTCTTAAAAACCCAAATGAATATAAGATAATGTAGAAGTGTACCTAAGGGATGTTTATATGTAATGATCTGGCTTTTGTTTTATGAATTGAATGTACCCACTCACCAAGATATACTTGTATATGAAGTATCCATACTTCATATACTGTTGCAGTTATACATGTACCCATGTGCTCCCTCTTTGTTTTCTTTATTTTTGTAGATACAGAGGTAACCTTTTACTAATTTAGGCATACGGATTTACATTTCCTGGCTAAGGTATACGTTTTGGACCTGAAATCAACACGGTAAGGGAATGGGATAAACTTTTAAATGAAGCAATATGATATAATTACTATCATAACCATTAAGCAGATGAAAAGACATCAGTAACAACATGTTCCTAATAGAGGGTGAACAGTCCCAAGGAGTATTAGAAATTTCTGGCTGGATATTAAGAAATGTTTTCTAACTAACTCTATTCACTTAGTAAAGTCTCCAAAGGGAAGATGAAGGTTAATTAAAACTGGATTGTGCAGAGCATGAGAAAATAAAACACAGGAAAATGAAAAACAGATTAGATGTATTTGCTGTATCATTCTGCATGTTTATTATGGTGTATTATAAGGTTTAGAAGGAGACAAAATAAGAGCATTCTAATAGCTGAAATTAGCCTAACATTTCTAATAATAACCACTGTGGCATTATGGGATCTGGAGATTTTAAGTATTGACTATTAAAATTATTTAAGCAAAGAAACAAAACAGCCTAATCTCACTCCAACGCTTGTCCTAAATGCACAAATTTTATGATTATTCTGCATATGGAATCATAGATTTTATTATTCCTAAACAGTCAGAATGGTCTATAAATTACTGGAATCAGAATAAAGAAAATATTTTGAACAAAGAGACACTCATAGCCTGGGGCACACCGTCTTTCTCCTTATACAAGTCTTGTGCCACCCAGGAAACCTCCTAACAGGAGCAAGAATACACCACTGGAGCAGCTCCTCCTTAGTCAGTTTGACACATCACAGACATGCAGAAAACCCTAAATGGGCTTCTGCTGAAACAGCACTTTTCTTGTGTGTAAGAAAAAGACTGATCTGTGCAAATTATCTCTACATTTATTTCTGTTCAAAATTATGTGTATATTTCTGTTTCTACTCTGACAAAGAATTCCTATCTACCAGGCTGCAGTAATCAAGTATCAGCTTATGAAACACATCTCAGCAACGCACAGTTCTGTAGAAAAATTATGACCCTACTGAGATTCTACTTTCTGAGAATAATAATGAACTATGATAATGAACAAATAATAAACTCTTATTTTACTTGCAGTTAAAAGTTTTAATTTAGATTTTAGATCATGTAGCTAACCAGTTCCCTCGAAAAAACAGAATATAATCTATGTAAGAACCACACTTGCTATAATTACTCTTTCCTTTTCAAAATTCTTTGTATTTTCATTCATTACTCTTTCCTTTTCAAAATTCTTTGTATTTTCATTCACAGTAAAAGTGATGCATTCTGAATTCTAGAGGTGAGTTGATGCTATAATATTTAGAGTGAAAGAAGGTGAGGAATATATGCTGAAAAACAGAATATTTTTTTCTTTAGATCAGGAAGAGTGGCAGCTCTGTCATCTTGCTTTCCATGGCAGTTATTTAAACTGTTGTTGGACATAATAACACAAGTTATTTCTGTTTTTTATAAGACTGGTAACCTAAAGTGAAGCTTTATACCTCCCACTGCGATATTCTAAAAAGGTTTGGGATGCTAAGATCTAATAATTAATCTGTACACATAAAAGTTTAGTTTCCACATCTTGAGGCTAGTTATTTCTCTGTTAGAAAAGTCAGAATCATTATATTCTGATAGTCTTCACAAACTCTCTATAGTATATAAACCTCCAGGTTTGATTCAGTTGACAAATAAAAATATTATTAGTAAAGTTACCTGTAAGAATCCCTGTTACTGATGGTATCATGACCAGAATCTTCCTGTTCATCACCTGTCACACTGAAACAGACTTTTTTTCCGTTCCTTTCACCCTTTTCATTATCACTGTCTGCTGGTATTAAGGGCTCAGGCGTTTTACGTTCTGATTTGGGAGAATATGTTATCGAAGAAAGAAGGCTGTGAAACAAACAAACAAAAAAAGATAAATTCATGTTTTTCAAAAGTGAGCTAGCAACAGGACAAAATTTCTCATCATCCTCCAACTACTAGGCTATAATATGTGAAGGGAACATCTTAATTCAGTCTGTATCTATTTGAAACAAGGGAAAGAAGTGACAGATTCTGTTGCTAAAAAGTCTAACAGTGAAACCCATTAGGTCTACTAAATATTCAATTGTCTATGAAGGTAATGATTCCAATTGGGGAAGAAATAAAGCACAGTTTTGGACACTTAGGGTCAAAGTTTATATTAGCATAACTATTTCTAGACATGAATTATGTACTTCCCAGCACAAATTAAGAAAACAAACCAATGAAACTGTATACGAAAAACATATTTTTTCTCATTACTGCTGCACTAGACACGCCAGTTTGCATCACAAGCTATTTTACTAGGGCATTTTAAGGATCTTCATTAACATCTCTATGTAATTCCTGACATTCAAATTGTCTAAGACATTATCAGCAGTAAAACTGATGATTAATATACATGCGTCTGTGATGAGCACAAAAGTGACATCCAGCCAAGAAGAGAGAACAGTTCAGACTGCTACTTTTAGAACATGCACAAATACTGGAAGCAAAAAATTCATATTATTGGGTGATTAACTCATACCGAGATGTTCTAATTTACTTTCAAGATCAGGACAGCTATAATGGGCAATTGTCCTTTAATTCATATTGCTCAAACACTCCATTAGAATGACATTTTCAAACTCATATTTGGATTTGAAAAGTACCATTTTTCATGCAGAAACTAACTTCTAACTATCTGAAATAAGAAGACACTGAACTAAGCTTTTTTACTTAGACACGGTAGCAAGGTTTTATTGAAGGAGCTGTCAGAGTGGTCAGCTGGCAAAGTTTCTACCAAATACACAGTAAGATTCAAACTTATGTTAGATCTTTTTGTTACACATAATTCTTACTTCTGAAGGGAACAGACAGATATTTAACCCATATATAGGTAAAGATACTGAACTGAACTGTATTTAAAATATACAAAAATGATACTAAAGTTACAATTTCACTGGACTTGAAACCCACCCATCCACTAGACTGACATCTTTTGGGCTACATAATGCCTTAACACTTCATATCAGTGTGAAATCACAACTCTTAAGCTCCTTCCAACCATTTAAGTCACTGGTTAGCAGGATTCCACAAGGAAGGGAAGATAGATGGGGCCCGTATTTTATATCAGTATTCAGTGTCCGTCTATGTGTCCATTAAGAGCATGGGTGCTCCTGAACTTGTCCTAAAATAAATGTGTTAATGAAGTGTAAACCTTAAGAAATCAGTTCTTCATACCTGTAAAACTTATTTTCTGAATACAAAAATATAAAAGGGTTTCAAAAAGGAATTAGAAAAATTCCTGGTAGATGATTCTAACTGTGCTCTTAAACCAAAAGGTCCATTTCAAGAACACCATGTAGTCCTGCCTGCTGGAAGATAAAATGAGATAAGAACAAGGATTAATCTATACTTCTGCTTGTTCTTGTGTTACTGTTATCATCCACTTCAAAAAGTAAAAATGGGCTTTGGGTAGATTCATTCTGGTAACTTCTTGTGGATTTTGTTGTTGTAAGAAAATAATCAAGAGTAAGAAACAAGCATAATGAACTGCAATTTCAGCTCCTGAAAATATCTTCCCCTGAGTAAGTATTTGTCAAGACACAGACAGTCTATTATACACTTTTCTTTTATGTGACTGTTTAGTCACTTCTGCCAAGAGCTCAGTAAAAGACTGATTAGGATAGCTGGAGCTTTTCCTAAGGGAGCATTTCCCTTTCTCTCAGCAGGCAGGCACTTTTTCTAAGGAAAAATTTCTGCTAAACTACCATGAACGAAAGCTGGAACTTTGCATAACAGAGTTGAGGAGCTGGTAGTTCCTGAGCTCACTGAAGTGCTCTTAGAAATTCAGGGAGTTTAAAACACACAACCCCAAAGCTGGATGCAACCCCTTCCCAATAATCATGCTTAAATATACTTTTCTTTGTTTGTTTTGTTTTTTTCTTAATTTATAACAGAGTCATTTAGTAGTCCAATGTTTCTATAATATCATATAAATTAAGAATTGTGATACCATGTTCCTATTTTCTGTCTTGAGAAAATTATAATTATGAGGATTGCTTATTGCAATCCTCCTTATAATAACAAGCAATTCTGTAAATAAAGGCATAAATTTCATTGTTGTTATGTCATAACAGAAAACAAGTTCTACTATCTTTATAAAAAACTCAATATGTGAAAGCATTTCCTCCTATCTGTTACAAGTACAAATATTTCTAATTAAGGCACAGCTGTTGGATTATCCTCTCTTATTACTCTATCTTTGTTTTTTAGTAGTCCTAATTTTTCTCTCAAGAGTTAATCAGTAGCTCTAACTATGTTGTAATATAATACATGATGTAGCTGTGAACTGCTCTCACCCAAATAGTCCCAGCTTCGCTCTTCCCTGTTCAGCACTTTTAAGTAGGTCCCTTGGCTATTCTGTTTCCTGTATAGAACCACTTTTCTCCACAGTAATTAAATGCTGGCAGTCCACTCAAAGTCCATGAGGAATAAAGCACGAAAAGTATCATTTTTACAAATAGCCAAAGGTAAAATTTGCTAAATAAATCTGTGCACCTTATACAAGACATGCTACTAGGTCAGCATACAGGAAATTTAGGAAAGAAAAAAGTGAACCCTCATGTTTACTGTCATAACTGTATGACTTTCCAAATGAATATATACACAGATACATATATATATTTCTGTACACACAATGCATAAATATATGTGTGTGTATTTATATATACATATATATGAAAGAAAGGCTCAGAATTTCCTGTGCTTTTGCATCACAGGCTCAAGGGAGTCGAAAGGAAAGGTGTGGCAGACTACAACTGGAACTTCCTGAAATACTAACTGAACTTCCATACACAATTCTCTGACTTCCTTGAGGAAGAGAACAACATAGGCTTTACAGACAGTCATTTTTAAGTGCACCCAAGCACTGAAATTATTGTGAATTTAAGTAACTGACTTCATCTTCAGCGTGATAATTAGCAGATCTACATAAAGGTAGGGAAAACAACATTTTCTTAAAAATATTGATGCAACTCTTGCGTTCATTCCCATTGCAGTATGTAAGACATTACAAAATCACTCTACAGTCTTCAAGATAACATGAGAAACAATGATGCACTATTTTTCTAAACTGAAGATCATGAGAGATTGTCTTTTAAACTCAAAAATTTATGTTATTTATATTTTTGAAATTAATAATTTCTGACAGTTGCATTGCATGTGGGATCTTTCAAAACTGAAATACTTCTTAACCTTCTTCATCCTTATCCCAAGATAGCAAATAGCCAGCAGTCAACCCACATAGTTCACAAATGAAAAAGAAAGTTATCAATCCTTGTCCTGAATTAGGATAGACTGTGATGAGACTTTGAGTCTTCTTCCACATTCAAGCCAAGTGTCCTAATCAATACAGGGTGGCTCTCCCTAGATCCATAGTTCTTCATTAAGGTAAATTTGTTTTCGAAAAATGTCTAAAACATTAATACTCTTCCTATAGGTGAATAATGCTTACCTAAAAATTCATCAGTGGGACTGTTCAGCAATACCCGAAGAGTTCAATAACAGTTATTTTTATACCTCTGCCCTTTGTTTCCATTCTTAGTGAAATTTTAGATGATGTGTGTGTCTCATTTTTCTCACCGCAAAATATTTAGCTTTTCCACATTCTAGGGAAAAACTACAAGCTAAACTGTGAAAAAAAAGAATCAGGGATGCTGGGAAAAACATGTAGTATTACCTACACTTAGCTTCTTTATCCTATTTTAATTCTATTTGAGGTGATCACTGATTCCTACACTATACAAAAACAATATCCAGATGTATCATCTTCAATTGAAAAAATAAAGGCAAGTCCAGATGTTAACATTTACTTACTCATCTATTTGACAGACACATGTTTCCACCTCTTTCAGTGCAGCTTGTAATTTGAATAGCAATTTTTGATAGACATCTTGTGTTTCCAAATCTTCTTCTTTTAAGAGGTACCTCAGACCGTGGCCCTCTTGCTGGCCAAGAGACTGTCCTGAAGGGGCAGCCATAGTAGTAATGGTATGCTGGACATAAATCATGGGATTCAGTTTACCTAGGAATAATTCAAAAAGATGACATCATCATCTCTTTTTCAAAATATATTTTGAAGCTAGTAAAATACCTAGCAAATATTAAAACATTTTCCTGCTTAAAACTTCATGAATTATTTAATTTTGCATTTTATTTGCATATCAAAGCCAAGCTATTTAGGAAAAAGTTATTGTGAAATTATGACTAGCCTTTATTATGCTTTAAAATAAGCCAAGGTTTCAAAAGTAGGGTGATTTCACAAAAGTTTGTCCTTAATTTTCCTATTTGGGCCATAAACCTAAACCTTTTAAGACTATAAATCAGAAGCACTGGAAGCAGTTTTTACAAGCTCAACTGACTTACCTTGATCAGTGTTTTTATTTTCCTTTTCATGGGAAGAATGTTTTCTGCTGTCTAACTGTACACCAAAGGCACTACCAAGGGAAGTTGAGGTCTTAGGGTAAGACACTTCCATCACATTGATATGGCAATTGGTTGGACAGAAATCACTGCTGTGAAGTGGTGAAATCTTTGACTTAGCTTGTTTGAAGGTAGGCCAAGCTCTGTTTTTTAATACTCTTGAAAACTAGAAGTGAGAAAGAAAATCAAATTTTGATTAGTAGCTCTTCATGTGTCAGCACTTGGCTGGCAATACTTGTGTACCTGACTAGAAAACAAAAGCTTAAAATATTTCAGCCATCCATGAATTAAGCTGTCCTGACTTCATAGTTTCTAGCTTTCTCTACAAAGGAAAGAAAAAGATTTTTCATTTTATACTTTTAAGGGGTTGTTTTTTGAAGTAAATGATATTTTAAAATGTGAATAGCTTTGTAACAAAACTATATACTTTATTTCCCATGGAACATAATAAAAAACTAAGTATCTTTCTTAGAGAGAGAAAGCCTGGTACTGCCTTATGATCCAGTGGTCTACTGCATGTGACATTTATAAACACCTGCTGACAAAGATGTCAATGTCTTGCAAAAAATTATAAATTTTTGTCTGAAACTATAATAAAGAGAGAATTGGAAACTATTTCATATTCAGGAAGGATGAAGTCCTCTCTAACGACATCCTGGGCTGCATCAGGAGAAGCATTGCCCACAGGTTGAGGGAGGTGATCCTGTTCCTCTCCTCAGCACTGATGAGGCCACACCTGGTGTACTGGGTCCAAATCTGGGCTTCCCATAGATAGACATGGGCATACTGGAGAGAGCCCAGTGAAGGGCCACTAAGATGATTAAGGGACTGGAGCATCTCTGCCATGAGGAAGGGTTGAGAGAGCTGGGAGCCTTCAGCTTGGAGAAGAGGAAGCTCAGGTGGAACCCATCAGTGCATTCTAATACCTGATGGGAGGGTGCAAAGAGGATGGAGCCAGGCTGTTTCCAGCAGTGCCCAGTGCCAGGACCAGAGGCAATGGTCACAAACTGAAACATGGGAGGTTCCTTCTGAACATCAGGAAACACTTTTTCACTGTGAGGGTGATCATGCACACATTGCCCAGAGAGGTTTTTGGATCTTCCTCCTTGAAGATGATTCTGGGCAATCATCTCTAGGTGGCCCTGCTTGAGCAGGGCTGGCTGGACAAGACCTCCAGAAGTCTTTTCCAACCTCAACCATTCTTCTATTTTGAGTGATTCTAGGAAGCTGATAAACACTAGTACATAAAAACTGCAAACACCACATTTTTCAGACTTTCCTAGTCTACCATCTCTTCTTCCCCTGCCATATATCAGCTCAGAAATGAAGGATGGGGTTTTTTCCCCTCTGTTTTACATTTTAATTCTAATACAGTGCTTAGCCACATCTCCTTCACTCAAACATCTGAAATTTTGTGCAGAGTCCTGGACAGGCTTAGAGTTTTTTGGTTTTTAAGATGAAAAATGTCAACCCAAAATGGTGAACACTGAACTGTACTAAATTTGGACACTCAGAAAATACACCTACTTCAGAATCATAAAAGTCATGAGATCAAGCTCTTCCATTGGCAAAGAGCCTTGTCAGTCACAAATAGAATCTTTGTCAATACGTGTCCTTTTCAGTGGAGTTTTTTGCTAGGACAGAGTTTTTTTCTGGCAAGATATAATCAGTTCCAAGTCCCTGGTATTTTAATCACAGTATCTCTCCAGTCAAAATATTACACAGACCTACCTCAGCTATGGACCATAAGAATATTTTCAAAGTTAACTTGAAAAGTTTCTTCATTAATAAATGTCAGTACAAATTCAATCGGTCAAAACACTTCAGTTGAACAAAGGCACATCCCTTCGTGAAGTAACACTTTCTTGTGCAGGGACTTAAATTTCTGTTTATTTTGGTGCCATATTACTTCAGCCTGATGAACTTTTGATGGGTTAATTACATTTAAATCTTTAGATCACAACAAGATCTGGAAAGTTACAAGAAACCCAATTATGGAATTGTTCAAAGTCTGAAGAATGTACAAATTGTTAAGAAGGGCACTAAGGACATTCAACGATGAAAATGTTTCTGCAAGCTGTACATATTTCACATCTCGATCTCCCACACATCCTGCTCCAGAGAGACCAAATGCCTGGCTATGATTTAATCAGGTCATAAGTCAGGACCAAAATTCTTTTCATATATGTGTTGAGAAACATCTGGGACTCATGGCACTGGACTCGAGGTCTATTAGGAGCAAAATGTTCTGATAATAATAATAGTAGGGACTGCAGAAATCTAAAAGGCTTCTATTTATATAATTCGAACTTTCACAATGAAACCAGGAGCCAAACTGGGCTCAGGCCCTCCGAAACTCTCCTGTAACTATGGTTACCTTTACCTTGCCAAGAAAACCATGTATCTATTCCTGCAGTTCACTGCATTACTAATTGTCATTAAAAGCTATAACTGAAATGACTGATTTTTGAGGAGATGAGCTTGAAAGTGCAGTTTGTATCAGCAATATCTGCTTCTAAACAGTGTAAGAACTACGTAAACTTCCCTGAGGCTGTTCCCTTCACATCCAGCAAACACAACAAAGTTTCATTTACTGTCTTGGCCTCCTGTAGAGGGACCTTGTATTATAGTAAAATTTTTTAGCTACAGAAAATATATAAACCACCTACATGTTATTTCAACTCTAATTCTTAATGTGAAAACTAATGAATTTCATTTTTAAAAAGGTATTTTGATTTTTAACCAATTTGGAAACATGAAGGTTTGTAATTCAGGCAAACAACAGAGAGATTGGATGTTTGCTAGTGCAGTATCAGAATCCTTTTGATGTTTCCATTAATTCAACTCGATTTGTTCCATTCCTTGCCAGAGAGCACCCTAAAAAGTCTTTGACAAGCTGATTTTGACCTTCATCCTACTGAAGCTAAAGATATTCCTAACATTTCTCCCTACTTTTTCCTTGAAAAATAAGAAAACACTATCCACTCTTTTCCATATATCTTTTAGAAATGTGTGAAGCTTCTATATTCAACTTGCTTTTCCTTTCCCTTTTTCTTTTCAATTTTTTGTGTATTAACTCTCAGAACAGACTAGTTTGTAAATGTCACAACTCAGATCCCCAAATGAACTGAGACAGGGCACAGACAGTTCTCTGGAGCCATTTTGAGCCTACTTCAAAATAATACCACACTCAGCAAATTAGGTTATGTGAGAGAGGAACGAGGAGCCTGGATGAGAAAATAAGTTTGCACTAACAAAATGGCAAATGGTTTATTCATTTATGCCCTGCTTGGTTAAACAACTACAGAGAAATACAGTGGCAGAGGTCGTAGTCTGGGTTATTTATTCATTCACATATCATTAATTTAGATCTCAAGCATGTCTTCATTTTTCCATGCTATAATGCTTAATTAGCCCAAGTCAATCTAATAATTTACAGAAATGTTACTATTAACAGTCATGCTAGAAAACGTCACACCAATTTGAAGGGCAAAAAAGATGAATAAAAGAGTAACAATTTGGTATTTCAAACTAAGATACACTAGAAGGAAAAAAACAATTCTGTTATTGCTTCATTTTTGGTTAACATCTGCAAATTCACTGGAGTATTGGTTTAAGACACATACAAGAATGATGGGCCTTCTGTGGAAATATGCAATTGATTGTATCTACAACTGAACACAGCAAACAGGAAAAGATACAAAACTACACAGTGTCTAGACAAGGGACAGTAAAGAGCGTGATTTGAAAACAATTGAAGCAATTAGTCAGTTAAGGCATTCACACCTCAAAATAGCTAAACTTTCAGCCACATTTTTTGCCATTGCAATAGACATTTTGAAGAGTTATTCAAACTGTACCACATTCCCCAGTTTTTCCCTTAAAACTAAGGAAATGTCGGTCATACCTTTTTATAACTAGAGATTCTTCTGTAAATATGCTCAATTTTCTCACTGCAAATGACACTGAATTTACTTTGAAGCTCGGTGGGGATCACTTCATTTAAGGAATTGAGGCTGTTGCAATTCTGCACAAAATGTTCATCACTTTTTGCCAGTGCTTCAAGAATCTAAGATAATAAAAGCAGTACATTAAGAAATCAAGTTGACTAAAATTTCCCTTACTTAACCCCTTACTAATCATCTCTTACAATTAAAGCTGAAAAGCCTGATAATCAGTTGCCTTTTAACATTACACGCATTGGTGCATAACAACAATGAATTAAACCTGGGAAGCAAAGAGGTTTCTTTAAATCCTGCAAAGTTATACCCATAAGTATTTTTATTTGGCTTCTCATGACATTGTCTGATAATGGATTTGCTACTAATTTCCTCCTAATGGAACTACTATGGCTCCTCTGAAATACATTATCTGCTGTATTTTCTTGATCAGCATATATTATGTAAAGCTGATTAATTAATTCTTTACTTGTAGCAAAGCTTCAGTCTGGCAGTATAAGCAATACTAATACATTGAAAAAGCATACAAGAAAACTGAGTGTTATCCTCACATTTATTCTGCATGCAAAACTAGGAAATAAGGCACAGAATAAGCTGTAATACCCAGCAAAGACTGAAGTCTTGCTATGATGGAAATAGCACCAGCAAATAATGCTGAGAGAAAACTTAACAAAAGGCATGTTGAAGAGATGAGGGTAGTATATAGTCCTTTTTTATTGAGTTAGAGTTGTATTTCAGGCATTGAAATTCACTGTGCTATAGATCTTGGAAGGTGCCTATTGCTGGTTGTGTCCAACTCTGGAGATGTGTTTCAAAAACACACCCAAAAAAACTTTATAGCAGGACACGAAGTCTAGACTGAGGCAAGGCATCTAAATAAGAAAAGGTTCACAATGTTTTAGAAATACTTAAAGAAAACCAACCAAACCACACATACAGTACTAATCCATCATAGGATTTATCCGATTTATCACAGAATCACAGAATATGCCGAGTTGGAAGGGATCCACAAGGATCATCAAGTCCAACTCTTGGCCCTGCACAGGACCATCCCCAAGAGTCACACCATGTGCCCTGTCTGTTATTCAGTTCTGCTACAGCTCATCGTTATCCTATTCACCATCAAAGACATAAGATATGATTTATAAGCTTCACAATAGAAAAAAAAATAAGAAGAAATTTTGGAGTGCAAAATCTGAAGTTTTCAAGAAGTCAGAGATTATAAATTATTAGATTCTATGAGAATTTTTTTTTCTCATGTCCCCACCAGGTGAATTAAGGAAAGTCTTTAACTCTTCTGTTATCATGTTGAGTTACTGCATTAAAACACTCCAGTCACTTTGGTCACACTTTTAAGCTTCCTTTATGTAAGGTTTAATTAATAAGACAAATTTAAATAATTTAAGTGGAGGTTTTTTGCAGCTGTACTTTCCAACAATTGCATTCTGCAGCACAGCTTTGGATAGTTTCTCATCTTAATAGTTAACATAGATTTGCACAGTATAGGAAAGCAGTCCAGAATTAATTCACTCCCCTACTCCATGTGATGCAGAATACAGTTGTTTAAAAATGCAAAGCAACAATAAATACACAGCAAAAAAAGATGCATATGGAGAGAAGCATAAGACCACACTGAACACAGAGAGAAGTTTATGTTTAGAGCATTTCAAACCATTAGCAGGTAGTTATATGGGATAAGTACCACTAAAATTCTCGTTATTGTCTTTTGAGTTGAGACCTGATTTTTCTATCAGTGAACCTTTTGTAGTCATTTAGATCACTATCACCTGATACAAACTTAATATTACCCCAAAATTGCCACATTACTTCTCCTTATTGTTTGTAATAACTTCGAAGTATTTAAATAGCCAGCCTAAACACTAAAGGGGATGACACTGCACTATTTAAGGCCAGAATCAGTGTGCTGGAAGTACCTCTTTACTTAACTACTTCATATACAACAAGGGAAAAATATTTCTTAAGCAGTTAAGAAATAACACCTTAAATATTTTATATGAAATTGCAACTACAGCAAGAATTAACATCTTTCAGGCCACTCATTTGAATCATTGACTAGACCAGCTTTAGCAAATCTCACAATGTGGTGTAAGAAGTAACTCCCTTCAAAACATCAGAGAGATTAAGATGACCAATTATAAGGTATTAGATGAAATACACATAATCCTAAGAATAAAAAAAAGACACATGTTGCTCCATTGGTATTAAGCATAGTAAGAATTAGCACATACAAAAATGGCTTCATACCTTTGCAGTCAAGCTAAAAAATCCCTTTGGTTCAATCATTTTTTCCAAGACGTGGCACTTTATTCCAGCTGTGCTGTCATACTCATAAACCACTCCATACTCCAGGTGAACATTGTCAACAGTCAGACTGACATGATCTTTCTTCCCATCAATTATTGCCATAGTGTTAAATTTGTCAATTACCTCTACAATAAACAAAGTAACACAAATCAGTTGACAAGTGCTGGTCATTAAATAAACTAAAATGGACACAGACAAACATTCTAGAAACAGGTATGTTCTGATCATTCTATTTTAAAAAGTTAATCAAAAAAACCTGGTTACCAGCTGAATGATTTCAAAATTGGAACACCAGTAGGTTTATAGATGCTAAAATATTGGACTGCAAAACAGGCAGGAGTCTTTCTTTACAAACAGTTATTGAAGGAGACTAATTCATATAACCCAGAGAATTAAAAAAGCCTCAAAAGAGGGAAAACTGAGAATTTCTAAATAAACTAGAAGAAAACTACCATGAAAAGTGTCACTATTCAGAAATGAAACCACAATATCTGCATTTATGCAGAGAACATAATATAGTTCACATACTAACTGACTCTTTAATTACCAAGATGCATAAGAATGCAGTTTTATCTAAATGTTAATTGCCTGAAAACAATCTGAAGGATAGCTGTTCTGTTATTTCTCATACAGTAATGACTAACGTATCTATATTGCCATAAACGATTACTAGTGGTGAAAATAAATAAGGTAATTCCTAGGATTATGTATCTAACAAATGAAAATGGAACAATTTTCCCCAAAGTGTTTACAGAAGCTTTTTCTCTAAATGAGAAAGATAATAATTTTCAGAGAGTATCATGATAAATTTACATGTTTAGAAAATGTAAGAAAGGAAATCCTTATGCAAAACACATCTTAAGGTCTGCTCAAAATTTCTTCTCTGAAAACAAACCCACTGTCTACATTTTCCTTGCTACTACACCAACATTCTGAGCAACAACAAAATCCAGCAAGCATCACATACCTTCCACTTTGCAGTCAAAGGCATCACCTCCATCATCTCCAGAGGGTTTGGTGTTTGTTTTCTGAAGATCCTCCTGTGCACTTTCAATGCTGTTGTAAACCCACTGTATAGAATCTTGCTAAAAATAACAACAAAAAAAGACAGCTAGGAAAAGCTTTGCAAGTGCAATTGATAGCAACTATTTCAGCAGGAAACAGCTGCTTTAATTCCCTGATTATTATCAGCTTTACTGCCTTCTGAGGTCTAAGTTAAAAAAAATAAAACTGAAAATTACAGAGAATTTTGGCATTCTATAACACCATTCACAGAATTTTGGCAAGTTGTTTCTTATTTCAGAGTCTACTGTCATAAGACACTATGAAATCTGTGACAGTATGACGTCCCATCAGTTTTGCACCTCTGATAAAAATAATTTAAGACATTTCAAATCAAACAGCAGACTGAAAATTATTTAAGACAAGAAATTGTGAAAAAAAATTAGGAGAACCAATTTTTTGCCTTGCTGTACATCCATGAATCTGCAGAAAAACACTATGAAATATCAACCAATGATAGAGTATGTCCAGTTAATCTATTTCCCATGTTTCAGTGGCACAAAAAACATACACTACAGCCTTCATAACTTGTAATTGCCTTTACTACACTTATTTTCCTACATGTTTTTTATTTTTCCCCCAGATTAACAAACCCACCAAAAATAACAGAATCACGGGGTCCAAAAATCCACCATCTCATGTGACTGAGTGACACATGAGCACAGGAATGGTGGCTTACATGGGCCATACAACCTATGAAGAAGCCACATGTATGCCTTATATCTTGTTCTCCCCAGCCTATTACTCAGTCCATCTCACCCTTGTGAAAGGGTTTATCAAGTATGGCATCTCCAGGCTACTCTTCATCTCTTAGATTTCAAAAAAATCTTGTCAATTAATCACTCCCTCTCCAACAGCTACAGTAGAATAAATGACATGATTATGACAAATCTGAATTCAGAGACTTTAAAAAGAAACTCATAGAAGAATTCAAAGTTAAGCAAGGATAGCAAAACTTTAGGCTGAAAGTTAAAAATCTTCACGAAAAGTGTCAAACACATGCAATTATCCTTTGCTAATATACAACATTCAGATGCTATCTTTATCCAATTAATCATATACAACTACATTTTTGTATGATTAAGGTACTGTTTCTCTCTAGGTTTCCTAGATTCATCTATGCCTTGCTTTTCACTCAATGGCACTGAAATATTCTGATAAGAAAGATTAAATTTCAGAGTTCTCTGTTGATTGTTGGAAGGTCCTGTGCAGAAGCTGATCAACAGGAACACTTCGGAAGCCCACACTTCTTTGCAGGTACCCCTGGAAGCTTGCTGCTTATTTATGGATTCTAACAGGTTTGCTTGGCAGCATCAAGATGGCCATGCAATCTCTAATAGAAAATACTACACTACTTAAACTGGAAGTCGTTCTTTCAAAAGTTAACACAATCTAATGCATCATGACTTGGAGCAATGTTCTTTAAAAGCATTACAGAGGAACAAACTAAGCAGAAAACCGACACATCATGGTTAGTATCGCTGCAAATAAATTTTAATTCCAAGAAGTAAAATGTACTCTCAATTTTTTTTATCCAGACAAGACAGAAAGAAGACAAACATTGCCCAACAGAGGTTACACAGTTATTCACACAGCAAGAATCTGACATGAAACTTCATGCTTCAGACAAGCAGGAAGATTCCTCACTCTGAGAAGCAGAAGATACAAGAAACAGAAAAAGATCCCTTTTCAATTATGCAATTGGCAGCCTCAGGAGAGACTGCAATCTTTGTGTTAATTAAATGGTAGGCTAATGCACTGTACTTAAAAAATAGGAGAAATCCATAATCATCTTCCAAACAATTAAAGAAAAACCCTAAATTTCTGATAAGGAAATGAAATTTTAGCTGTCTTGACACCAGTGGGAATACTACCATTTATTTCAGTCTAGACAGTTCTCCAATAGTTTTTGATAGCACTATGTCCTGATTTAAGTTTCTCAGTCTGGAGAATTTCCGTTATCTGTGATCTGCTGAATTGTGATCAGCTACTTTTTAAGATTGAAATAAATACTCTGCATAGGAAAAACTCCAAGTTATTATACAAGTGGATTAAAAAAAACAAAGTAATTCTTAATGTCAAGGCATTCACGCCAGCCAACATTAATCAATCCTCTTTGCATGTCACTAACATACATAGGAAGTCTACAGTTACACAGAGAGAACACAACTGCTATAAAGAATTTATCTTTTATTCCAGTCAATTTTATACTGGTGCACGAAATATCCTCTCTTTACTAGAGTGCATCTTTCTTTAAATAGGTGAACTTGATCTTGATATGCAGTATTAGCATTTAAACACAAACATCCAGACAATGCTTTCATAAAGATTGTATTTTTATGATGTAGTTCTAACTACATAATTCTTATATCTATGCAGTAGGTGTGGGAAAAGGATTTCACTCTTGATTTTAATTGGATTTTTCTCCTCAGTAAACACGTACTGGAAGAGTTTGTGAAGTTAATTAATGATATTAGTTCACAGTGTATGAAAAATTTGCAGGGACTTGGAATAATTACATTCTAGAATCCAGCTGGTTTTGTGTCTTGGAAGCCTGAGCTTTTCTCTTAAACTAATATGAAAAAGATAGCAAAATTTGCACACTTATATTAACAAAAAAAAAAAGGAATTTCTGAATTCTTGAATGTCTGTTTATTCCCAAGATTGGAATGCAATGGGAACTCAGAGCTTTATAGATGGTGTATGTGCACTCTGCTCTCTGTGTGCTGAAGTGTTACAAAATTCTGGAAGAAGATCAGCATTTTGCATTTCATTCTCCTGCTGCTGAGCAGGCAGCAAGCTGTGTGATTCCTCTCCATCAAGATGAGAATATATCTCATAAGGCTTTCTGCATAGGCCTGCAGAAATACTTGAAATAATCCTTTAAAAATACCATATAAAAATTATCTATAAGATTAGATTTATTTCAGTGCAGAAATTAAACAGACCTTGAACATCAACAATACATCGAGCAATCTTCAGCTTTTATATTTCAACTGGCTTCCCTTTAGTTTTATTCACCACTCCTTTCCCCTCACCCCACTCAAACACAACAGATACGTGGACAGAGATAAAACACCACACTGTTTACTTTGACCAATAAAAGAAACTTAGAAGAAAATATGCAAGGGTGAGACGTACCTGCATTGGCCGCCTGTACTTCCTGCACGCTGTGACATGAGCAATAACACTTGCATGAGTCTCTTTGCTGACATTAATTCCATTCACTTTGATTATGCACTGGCCAGGATGGAGACCTGCCGCAGCTGCCACCGTTCCTATTAATAAAAATATACATAGTTAACAAACTTCTTTGCCTAAACATCTCCTTTAAAGTTTACAGTCCAAAAAGCCTCTTTTATTTTTTTATCAAAACCTGTTCTCACCGATTCTTACATACTTCCCCGACCACAGGGTGCTTCTGTAGTCAGCTGGACTCCAAGAAAATGGAGTTCGCCAGCAGACGATTCCATAAGAAGAGACCAGACAATTTTCTAAAGGCTGTTTTATAAAACAACAAATGCTGATAAGTAATATGAAAATAATATTAAAATTTGTCTTAAAGAAAAGGACTTCAAAAGGATAAAATGGCTATAGCTTGAAAGTCACTAACTACTTAGTGACTACTTAGACTACTTTTATTCTGAATTCTTTTATATGAACGAAGCTTATGAGCTTCTTGATTAATTCAGGTGTTTAAATTTTACATACAAAACAGAACCTTTCTGACAATTCATAAAGAAGTATCAGAGCATACTAGATTTTCATGTTAAACATTAAGTGAAATATCCAAATCCAAAGACATTTCCAAGGATATTGTTCTTACATTCATCTTTCCTACCAACACAATTATAGCAGAGTGCCTTGCAGCTTTAAGTCAAAGTACACGGTGATAATTAAGTAGAATACCTCAAATTTAAATATTGAGAGGGGAGGTGGAGGGGTACAACACAACACCAAAACAAAACATTCTCTTAAAATAACATAAAATATATGGTTTGGTGATTTGTTTTCACAATGGAATAACCACCTTGGGAAAATCTTCTAGCCACTGAATAAGCACTACAAAAATAGCAGCTGTCTCCAGGTCTTTTCAGTGTGACTCAAACCCACACCTGAAAGACAGCCTGATGGAGTATGACCTTAGTTCCAGCTACCTGAACATTTGCCCCCTAATGTCTCTCTTGATGCTGCCATAGAGGGGCAAGAAAATAAAAATCTATTGCCTAGAGACTGCCAGACTGCTAGTTGCTGTGAAAGAAAAGGTAAGACTGAATTTGCAGAGTTGACAAATGGAAAAGTTTGTCACAACTTCATGACTTGTCAGTTGGGCATATTTGACAAGGAAATACTTCCAGAATATACCTGAATTTCCCTTGTTTTAGGAACTATCACTATTAGATGATAGCTGCATTTTAAATCTAATAAAAAAGAAAGTAATTGGAAATGACACCATTGCCAGCTATTGCAATCTCCCCTCCCCCCAAAAAGCAACGTAAAAATAAATATCTAAATAGGCCTTATTAAATATCTTTCTCTAAAAAAAAAATCTCTCTTCAAAATACCCCAAGGTCCCAATTCAGCAAAGTATTTAGGCATATGCTTAAAATCTTTCAGATTTAGCAAACCACACAAGCAAGCACTTGCATATTGTTGAGGCTAATTGGAATAAAGTATGTGCTTAATGAATAAGGATAGGTGGTTGAATTGAGATCCAGGTGCAGAAATAATTATCACACCAGCTCAACAGTCTGTAGTTTATTAGTCTTTCTCTTGAAAATCTAATTTCTGACATCACAGCCTAGAAAAAAGTCATCAAACTCTGTTCAAATCTGGCTGTTTTGCAGATCAGTTCACTTAAAATTCCTCAGTTACAAAGGCAGGAGGGGGTAAAAGGACACAACTCTCCCACAATAGCTGAAAATACAGTTCGTTTGCTCGAGCATTAACAATATGAGACAGCAACAGAGAATGCTTCAGCTTCTTTTATCACAAGTCAAAAATGTATTCAAAAACATATTGCGTTAGGAACTCCAAGCATTTGACAATCACATCCCAAAATGGACAAAACAGTATTTACATGAAACATCTGCAATTACTAAGACAGATCTAGGTCACCAGCAGTCTTGAAGAGATTTTTGAAAAGTGCGTTTTCAGAACATTGCACAAACAAATGGCCACCTAAAAAAACGTAGTGCTCAGGAAGTGACTGGTTCCCAACAATCAAGCATTGGAGAAGGTGATTTCACATTCATCAGCTATTCCTTAATCTGTAAAGAATGCACAGCTCTAACTTAACTTTCATACACCGGTATAAGTACATACCAAAAAAGAAGGTGGAAGATCTATCCAAAGTTTACAGAGTATAAAAACACAAAATAATCATATTTGGGTTTATTTAATATTGCTACTTTGGGTGAAAAACATCTAAGCTACATCAGTAGACCTAATTTTGATTTATCTCAACCAGCCATTTAGATGTTAAACGCATGTTTACTAGTAACACTGACAGCTCTTACAGCTTACCTCTCCCAACAGCATGGACAACTGATGGGCCAAAGCCCCGGATTTGGAATCCAAGTCCATCTGCAGAGTCAGGAATCTTCACTGTCCTGATACAAGGAAAGATTGAATATGAATGTAGCAAAAGGTAGCATATTGTTACTTAAGATAAAAGTGGACAGCTACAAGCAGATTACAAGGGTGTAAGACTCCACACTTTTATTAATTCACAGTTTCAGATTCTGCACCATTCATATTCCAGGTACGGTACACCACTGGTATCAGAAATAAGAGCAAGTTGAGACAGCGAAAAATATCTATTTCACAGGGAAATTCGATATACCGATTACAACCAAAACACCACCATAGCTTTAAAATTCCTCCCAAAGGGTCTGGCATTTGGTTAAGTTGCCACAGCACAGCAACACTGAAAGCCCTAGGAAGGTAGTCAGTCTCTCAATCAAGAGGACAGAGCCTGGGGACCACAGAGCATGGCAGGCCTGGTCAGATGAGCTGCAGAAGACTTCAGAGCCTAAATCCATACTGTAATTTGTTAACTTCTAAGTGTCTATTCAGTGAGTTTTCTTGAAAAAATGTTTTGTTGTGGTTTTTCTGAGCAGCAGGGCTGAGACTTGTAAAGCAAGATTCATCTACTGCTGTTCATGACTTGCAAGCATACTGTGCTATGCTCCTGCTTGGTCTAAACCTACTGAAAAACACAGTTCTGAGACGCAAAATTCGCATCTACTCCTTAAAATTAAGCCCTGAGCTCACTCAAAGTAAGCTAGCTTACCCACATGATATCAGCTCAGGATCTAGAAAAAGCAACACAGCTGCATTAGCCCTTATCAGAGCTAGTTAAGTCAGGTATAACAGTGCACTGATTTAACTTTGCAGCTTTTCCTTCCAGAGCCAGTTCCATTATTATTTCAGAGATGTTTGCCCCAAGCTCCATTTGCCATTGCAAAAGCAAACAAATTCAAAGTGATTTGGACTGTAACAAACTTGATTTACAGGCAGTTTTGACTACTATAATTGCATCATTTCTTGCATTTCTTTTTTTTTCCTAGTATACATAATGTTAAGCATTTGGAGATGATTATCATCAGAGGAGATCCAAAACTCACTGAAGTCTACAATTTCTTTAAAATATTAGAATATTATTGAGATTAATAAATTTTCATATGAAATATTTTTTAAGTATAGCATCGTTTAATGTCATCATGGCTAGGCTTCACGAACAAAGATTTGGGAATCATTTAATGTACTTACATATTAATTAACGTTGATACAATTGATATGCATTCTGAAACTGCTTTGTGAACATGCTAATGAACTATGAAAGACCATCACTGGCAGTTTAGGCTAAGAATTTAGGAGAGAACTGTCTCTTCTGACAAAACAGTTGTGCTAGCAGCAGGTACTGACAAACAGCAGGCAGCACTGAGAAACAGATTCTTCAACTCCTGTGAGCTCCTCATTCTGTCAAACTTGAAATTCACCCACAAGTTCTGCCAGAAATTAAACTAAGGTATACACTAAAGAAAGGCAAAGATATGCTTTTTATGCTTTCTACAACACTATGGTCAACTGGTTTGGGTGAATTTTTTGTTGTGATTTTTGTCTGGCTGGGGGAGGGGGTGGGGTGGTGGTGTTGGACTATCAGTCCAGATGAGCATCTTTATGCCATATTTCCTTCTTTGCTCTTTTCCCCTTTCTGGGTGCCGTTCTCAAGACACCACTGCTTATTAACAGGAGAAGTACATCTCCATTCTACCACTGAACCAAAGGGAGGCACTCTGTATATGCTATCTGGCTAAAGAGCATGGCTCCTCTTTACTCTGCAGATTTCAATCAAAATTACTCCTGACCAGTATTTCTTAGGTCTCCTCCTTCTTTGTTATGTATAAACTAGCAATAATTGCATTAACTTTATAAATATACATATTTGATGAATGCACACATTAGGCCTCACTTTGTATTTCTTTTACATAACAAAACTTGCATTTAGGTAGGAATGGTCAATCCTGTGTACAAAAATGCATCTGTTACGTAAAGATGAGGAACTGTTTACTTGTTCCTGCGGTTTACACAACCAGCACACGTGCTGAAGGGACCCATTAGACCACAGTCTGACTATGCTAAACCAGCAATTAATCACCAGACACAGGAACTTATCTAATACACAGCGTAAGAGATAAGTGATCAAACTGTCTGTACCGTCAAGGACACTTCATTTATACTTGCAATTCCTGCATGTATTCAAAGTGGCAGAGCTGAAGATCTAAAGTACTCATGTTTCACTTTTGCTGACTCACAAATATAATACAACAAAATCTAAGCAGATCAAATCGCTTGACTTTACAAAGTTAGTTCAGATGTAGCATTTCAAATAACTTTACAAATAGTTCTCTCTGAAGTTCCACTGGTCCTTTAAAATTCACTTCAATTTTGTTTGTAAAATTTCCCCAAAGGAATGACAACTTACTCCCGTGGTTTAGTGCTCACAAGAACCCGCAGGGGCTTTCTGCTGTTTAAACAGGCTTTCAGGAAGCAATCCACTTCACTGAAGGGTCGCAGAAAAACCAGGTCACCATTAATGGCAAAGATTTTCTTCCCAACTTCCAAGCCTGCCATCTAGGAAACAATAACAGTTTATAACCACTAACATTATGTTTTCTTCTGCTGGCATGCAACCCCAGTAGCAATAATGACATGCACATTCACTTTACATTCTTTATGACTCCTTCATGTACCACACACAAAGGACTTATACACAAAATGCTTCTAAAACCAGTTAAACTGATGTGAAGGGTACAGTAAACACTCATTTTGAACAGACATAAATACAAGACCTAGACTTAATCAAGATTTTATGACAGTATTACAATACCAGTTAATACTTTTACTAATTAACAAAACAGCTTTGATTGAGCCATTTATTTTATGACAATACTTAATTTGTTCATCCATCATTTTCCAAAGGAACTAAAGCTTCTTTTCATAAAGAAAGACCTAATTAAAATTTTAGTAAGTGAATATTTGTTAAGTTCCAAAACAAAACAGTTTTTAAACTTTGATGTAACAAGAAAGGAACTACAACCAGTTGCACGACAGGAGTGGCTCAGGGTATGCATTAAGCCTTAGCACCATCTGAGATCATGGCAGAATCTGGCTGCTAGAAATCAACATATAGCTCTGTGGCTGAATTATATTATTGATTTGCTGTGTCTTTTTATGATTTAAATTTCTATTCTACCATGAGATTTAGAAAGCCTTGAAATCTAGGTGCAAATTTTTTCTCTCACGAAAGAGACTCCTTCTTTATCTTTACATATATAGACTCCTGTGCAGTTCAGTAGAATATGAATCTACCCCAAGAGCATCTAAAGCAATACCAGCAAACAGGAAGACTGCAATTTATTCATTTAGATTCTCAAATTCTAGACTTTATATAAAGCTTGATACATCTTTTACTATGAAACACATCACCTGCAACTCACAGACTAGCTCTATACTCATTTCATATTCTACCAAAAATGTTTGCTACACTCAGGATTAATGTCATCACAGGAATATTATAAAATGCATAAAAATAAAATTATAAATTTTATATCACTCACTATGACAATTTAGCTGAGCAGAAAATAAGTGTTCATAATGGTCAGAGCAACATGTTAAACAACAAACAAAACAAAATAAAACAAAACAAAACAAAGGCAAAAAAGGGAATAAGATTCATAAGCACAGCCTTCTTGGAAAGTTGTCAGTTACCTTCTACCACTATAGACTTTCTTATCTGATGCACAAAACATACATCTGTGATCAAGTAAGTAAAACAGGGAAGATAATTTATAATACTCGATACCTCAGCATTTGATCCTTTCTCCACCACTTTAATAATTGGCACCTTATTTTTATCTTCTAAACCAAAACCATAAGTGCCTTCATTAGATTTAATCTGAAAAATAAAATTGTTTAAAATATTGTTCAGAAAGCCATTAAGAAAAGCTGAAGTATATCCTCATTAAATAAACAGTCCTAATTTATTGTCACTACAACCAATTTTTTTACTCATCAAAGCATACAATCACTGGGTTTCACTCACCAGTAATGACTTGGCTATGACATTTTCCACTACTTTCAGATCATGTTTCATGAGTCTGTGCTTCATATTTGATCCTTCCATTTCTTCATCCGCATAAAAACGGAACAGCAGTGGTTCATCCTTAAATTCACTTTTTTCTAAGACTGTGATAGAAAACCACACATCCTTTTTTTAATTTTGAACTTTTGAATATCACGTCTTTCATAAGTCATAAAATACTGAACGTGAATACACATATTGAATGCTAGCAAAGTATTTTTGTGTGTGTGTGAATCCAGGGAAATTGTTTAACATACACAACAATTGTTATTTGGATCCATTACAGATAGGTATCACTAAGCCCATTTTTCAACTACACGTGGATTCCATCAAGCTGAGAAAGCCTTTCAGCTTGAAATCATTTTAGTAAAAATGCAAAGTGCAAGGTTTCTTCCTAAAAGGGATCTTAAAATATGATTTTGAAGAGTTCTGCTGGGCACCTGCTGAAGATGCTCACCACCAAGTTCTGGCACTCTCCATATGGTGAAGCATGCCAAGTTCAGTCTCAGAAATAGGTTTGGTGGGGACGAGGAAGCAACCAGAACAGAAGATGGATGCAGTTTGTATGTTTAAAAGTCAAAGGAAAAAGAATGAACAATACCAGAGAGGATGTTAATTCTCCCTCCTTCTCTAAACAGGATGATAAAAACATTATTCCTTCTATAATTCCTTCTTCTTTTCATTTCAGTAAATGACCTACTGCTTTGATCCTTTCACTGAAATCTTACGTTTGACAGTATTAAATGGGACCTTGTTCACATCATTTTTGGTGCTGCACACATCTCTGATCTCCTCTCTCTTCTTTGTTCACTCCTATCATTACAATTGTCTCATTTTCCTCCAGTCCACTTTCTCCTATTATCAGCACTTCACTTTTTTGAAGTCATGCTCCTCCATACTCTATTCTTTCCCCAAAAAATGTCACACTTCTTTCTTATATATATCCTAACTTTTTATTGTCTCATCTGTGCAAACATGTATTACCTGCTTAAAAAATTTCTTGCAAAGTGACTAATAAAACTGCCTCAGATAAATCCTTTAGAGTATGAATTCCTCAGCAGATGCTATAAAATTGGATATAATTTTCAGAGTACACAATAGCTAATTTTTTTCCTGATGACTGTGGCATAGGTCTCTTCAGTGATACAATAGAAGAATTTTCCATCTGTGCTGTAATATCTTTATCAGCACCTGCATTTCCTTCCAACTAGGTAGATAACATTAAAAAGAAAGTAAGCATAGTTTGTACAGAATGCATTTACTTACCATGGTGCATAAACCCATTATCACAAAGAGCTACACCAAATATCATAGCTTCCTCCCTCGTCCGGCAATCCCCCTGTTAAACCATAGAATAATTTTTTTAATATATTTTAATATAGCAGCAAAATGGAATCTGTGCACAATGGCATAATCTCACAGGGATGGCAATAGCTGTAGATTATATTTATCATCACCACTTTTATATATACATTTCTAGCATGCATACATAAAACAGAATATACATGTTTATCATACAATCAGAGAATAGTTTGGGTTGGAAGAGATCTTTACATGCTATAACTCTTTACACTTTGAAATAAATAGGTAAACACTGAAGTAACACTGCATACTCCATAAAAATTAAATGTAAGAGAATCTAAAAGTATCACAGTTTTAAACTTTTACTTTATGAAACTAGTGCATGTTGACAGAGTGAACAGGATACCCTGTTCTTGCTTCTAGTTCCTTCAAAATAAAACAGAGTTGTTGACAGTAAATTAGTACTGAGTTTTTTCCATCTAATTAGTAGTTTAGTTATGCAGAGTCTATTCCTTTCATTTTAAGCCAAGAACAGTGTTACATGCTGAATCATAAAGCTAAATGTCATTAAAACATTTCAAGTTCAGTTGCACATAAGGAAGATAAGCACAAAAAGAATTAACAGCACAGCTGCTGACAGATGATTGTGTTACTTTACCAGTGTAAGAGGATTACACTTACACACACTGTTCTAATAACTCTTACACAAAGTGTTTGCATGTTATTCTGCTTGATACATCACTAGCTTTCAGATTAGAATTTAAATGCACAACATACATAAATCCAAATGTGTATACTTGCCTGTGCAATCAACCAATCTATGAATTTGTTAGCCATAACCACAGATTTGTAGGTTCTCAAGTGATAATCTTTATCCCTGTTCAAAACAATGCAAAATGATTTTAAAAAATCAAACAAAAACTCAAAAGAAACAGAAAAAATACTTTTATGAACAAGTCAGTGCAAGTGTGAATTGAGCATTTTATAATGGTTCAGAAGTTTCTTCTGGAGAAAAAAAGCTAATTAAACCTTTCAATGTAAACAGAAAGGTGGAGGCTGACTACATCTTCCTTGGGTGACAATGGTACTGGAGTATAAAGGCAGGTGTGTTGTTACAGCTGTGACTCCCCAGAAAAGGTAATGGAGTGTAAGTGAAGGAGTATACTAACATATACAGTAAGCATATAAGCATATCCATCAGGACCTAGAAGGCCCTAGAAGCCTGTTAAAAAAGTCATATTGAACAGAGTTGGTAGTCACTTAAGGATTCAGTTATACTTTTTGTCTTGATAGCCCTTCAGTCTTATTTGATTACTCTCAAAAGGCCAATCTTGAAGGGATGGATTAGATTTCTACATTCAGACACAGTATCTTCAGATTATATACTACTTCCAAATGACTCTCTAAGGATTTCCCAATTGGACTCACCTAATTACTGGGGTAAACAGACTGTGAAGGCGACAGTACAGTCGTACACCCTGTTAAAGAGAAAGAGGTGGTGTTAACCCCATGTTCACATCACACAGTACATAAGAGGCATGGGCACAATAAGGAAGCCCATATGTTGTAAATGCACTTCATTTACACAGCAAAAGAGTCTGTTCAAATTTTTATGTATTTTCATGTGCCAAAACTTAATCTTTCCAGATAACAGTATTGGTGAATAAATTATGAGAAAGCAAACATGTCCAGTCTAAACTAAGCTTCACTGAGACACATGCAAAAAGGATTAGCTTTAAGGTAGCACTAAAAAATTCTGAAGGTTTGAAATAATTTAAAAGAAAACTACAAAAAAATAAAGCAATGTCTCCATACATTAGGGTTGTCCTAAATACTTGTTGTTACTTTACACACAACTGAGTTATGAAAGTAAAAAATACTGTTATTTCATTATATGGATCAATACTTCACTTATAAATTGAAATTATAACTAATCCATTTTAAAAATGCAAAATATTCAAAAATTAGAAATGTTTTCATTTACAAACCAAAAAATTAAACATTTGGAGTAGTTTAAGAAACTACCATCAGAAAATTGCATTTATAAAAGGAAAACACATTAGTATTACTTAGTGAACTAACAAAAACCAATTATGTTCACAACATGCAAGAAGAAAGTGTATAACAGCGTCAAATTAGATTCCATCATACTTTCCTCCGCCTGGTAGTTCAGTACTGAAGATTCCTCTAGATGTACCTTACATTAACAAGTGCCAGCAAAAAAGTGAACAACACTGTAGTGTAATATTCAAATGCAGACGTTTTTGATTGACTCAAAATCATGAAACATTTGAATATTAATGAGTTTAAAGGCAACTTTGATCAATCTTTTCATTATGCTCAGTAGGACATGTATAGCACTACCTACATGTGTTTGAACATCTACATAACTATAGATTTACTGCCTTGTTAAGGTACTAATAAAAGACATGCAGATTTAAGAGAAATTTAAAATCAGTTTCTTATAGCTTCGTATCTATGAAAATGGACTGAAAAATACAAGACTGAAACACTAGCTTCAGAATCCCCCACAAACCTAGGCAATGCCTCCTGCACATGAAACTACTGAATAATAACTATAACTAAATAACAGTAATCTTTCATTTTTTATTTAAAATGTATAAAAAACCCAAAAATCTTACAAATGGAAAACTGAATTTGATTGACATTGAGACTGGCAACTGTGAGGGGATGTTGTTTATTCCAGAATACTTTACATTATTTTTCAAGCAGAGCCTCAGTTTCTGATGTGTCCTCCTACCTTGGAGATCACATCCTGCATCTCATTTCTGGGGTAGTATGTTCCATCATCATATCGAAATCTATACAGCATGTGTTCAGGTTTGAATTGGTGCTTATCTGTAACTAAATTTAAAAAAAAAGTATTGTTTGATTACTTTCTGAAGAAATCAACAAGAGAGAAAAAGGTCAGCATCATTTCTGCTAATAACAGCCCATTACACAGAAACAGGTAGATTTCAGACAGGAAGGGCAGGAAGCCCAATTAGATCATCTGCTTTAAGTTCCTTTACGTCACTGGTGACAGTATTTCTTAGAACATTTAAGTAGTAAAGAAAAAACCAAACAATTTCAAGTCACGTGGCAAAGAATAAGGAAAACAGATAGGGAACAGCATGAAATTTAGGTACTCAAATCTTTCTAGTCTTCAGCGCTTTACAAAACTTATCGACTAAATATCCAAATAAGACTTCTTTTCCAACTATTCATACTATTCTCACACATTATTTTCTGTTCTCATTCTTGCTGAGGCCAATCTCAAATGATTAGGTAAAGATATGAACCCTTCCCAATACATTTGGCCAGTCCCGAACTGGGGAAAAAAGGGAGAGGGAATGTCTTCCCCTATATATAGACAGGCAGAGGTCACAAGTGCAAGAGACTGGTTCATTACAAAGATTTTGATAATCTATTTCCTCAAAGACCCATGAATCTTAGCAAGTGGATTTCCAGCATTTCACAAGATTCCAGCACCAAACCTCAAAACTTCAAGTGTTTTGTCAAAACAGTCATATCACAGGATACAAAGCTTCTCCTGGAAATAGTACTACTGCAAGTCTTTCTGAAAAACAACTGATCCATTTGATGGCTGAGGACAGCATTAGGCACTAGCACCGTCCTAGGATAACTTTTTTATTAATTATAGTTTTGCTTGCAGTTGTAAGCTTTAATTTTGAAACTAAATTTACATGTCATCAGTTGATAAAGAAGGGTAATGTAATGTCTTCATTAATCAGAGTAACACACCTGACAGCGTTAGGTGCAAGAGATTAAGCCATTATATATAATTCTCTTCCAAAAACTTAGTTAGGCATCATAAATTTTGTACAGTAAGGTGCCTTCTGTCTGTGTCATTTTTCATGCTTCTTCAAGCTCCTCACTATCTCCACACATCATCTGACACACAGAAATAAAAACTGAACTTCATATATTAAATGGTTTCACTAGTGTCATGTGCAAGAGGAAAATAACTTCTCTACCTGCATTTGATATATCTACTAATAGGAAAGTCCAGGGCACTATTCCAATTGCCTTGAACTGATGGTTCATGCTAAGGTGATTATCCAAAATAATTTTTAAGCTTTTTACGTATCATACATCAGATACAGACTACAAAATTTTCACATATAATGCCTAACATAAGTGTCGAAATGGATTTTAATGGATTGTGACCATTTAACTCAGAGAAAAAAGATATCTTCTAGTTCTGTAATTAAGAAAAAATTCTTGTGGTTGAAGAAAAAACATATTCCACTAGATTAACATGAATTAAGAGCTTTTATAACCACCAAATACTGAAAATAGAAAAACCACCAGGACAGTTTTGCCTAAGGCCAAGTTGTTCATTATTGTTCCACGGATGCACTGGGAGGGAACTGGGATCACAAAGCACCTTTCCTTTCTTGCATGCCTATCATGAACAGAGCAGGCTATGCCCTCTGAGTACCACTCTGTCTTTGCAGTCCTGACTTACCATAGTGCACCAGAAACTAAGGCAGTAGCTCCACAGGGCTGGCACATCCTGAGTTTCAAACACTTAAGCTGATGAAAAGCTGTATTACCACTAAAATAAGAAACCCCAAGTTGGTTTACATATCACTTCCAGCATTGTACCTACATTTATGCTGGGATACATATTTATATGGCACAGACAAAGAAAAAGGAACACATTTGGTCTTTTCATTTACTTCTTTGCCAGTGTAATTTTAAATCACATCAGTACATCAGTCCAAGAAACTGTGCAGCCACAGAAATACTTATTCATTTTAAAACTCTCTGATATTCAGTTTATTTTTGTAACTACAAAGCTCCTTACTACCTTGAGACAAAGCTTCCATTTCTCATCATCACAAGCAAGTGATTGGACCAAGTACCTCAGCCCACTGACTGCTACAAGTAATTTCAGATATCACAGAAGTCTATCAGGTAGATTTAAAATAGCAGCATAGCAACATACAACAAGATTTTTCCTCTTATACAAAGTGGAGGGGGAAAAAAAAAAAAGGAAAAGCCATAACTTTTCTACTTCCAAGAGTTCACACACCAGGAAGTAAAACAGTGCCCATCACAACATGGTTATGTCATTGCTAGCATGAACTCCAGCACAGTGACAATGATGGCCTCGTGAATATGCAAACTCTAACAAAGACCTCTACAATATTTGCAATGTAAATAACAGCCAAACTTTCTTTCTCCCTTGATCCCTCTGTGAAAACAGATGGTTCATTCAACTCTATTTTAAGAATGCTATTTTCAGTGAACCACAGCTGGATCCACTATTCAAAGTAGCATGTCTGGCTTACATTTCTATGCTCTAATATAATTACCCTTTTATCTCATGAAACTACACAATATTCATTTGATTCTGTATTGAGAAATTCTATGATTGCATTTAGGATATAAATTACAAGATCAGGAAAAGAATCTGGCAACTAAATGATTTCATTGAAAACAATTTCTCTGTGTGTAGTAAACATAATGGCATCTGACATTTGAATGATTGTGGAGGAAAGTCATGTAGACTGACATTAAAGAATTAAAGGCTACATGACCACTGATGAATAACCCTAATTTTTTTCCTCCTACTTTGCATGTGTTTAGAACACACACAGCTAAGTGGCACTATGTTTCTTCCACTTTCTTTTCAGTCAAGGACACTAAAAACATCATTATTAATCAGTACTAAATTCATTTCTGTATGGCGTATAGTAGTGTACTAAATGGAGTTTTGAAGTGTATATTATCAATGAATCCAACTAAATTTACACCCTGGATCTATGATGGAAAAGTAGCTAACTTGACAGCTGTTTCATCATTTGCTTTTTAAGTGACTGTACCTATTGTATGCCAAATATGCCTTCAAAACCAGAAGTTTCTCCAGTTCATTTATATGGTCCTGTTAGACTATACCTTGTAGTAGGGACAGAGATGAGGACCTGCTCTGGAAAGAGAAAAATGCTGCCAATGCAAATTATCTGCAGAAATTAAACATTCTTATTGGTCATTTGAGGGATACTTCTCTCCACAATGAGCTAAATGCACAGAATTGACTTAAAGTTTCAGTATAAAAATATAAATTTTAGTAACTATATAATATAGTGAAAAGAAGGCCTTAAAATTCAAAAGATTAAATTGTTGGGTTCTAGGCTGGATTCCATCAGCTTGAGTTGTAATACCTAACAGATGAGCAGGCACGTTTATCAACAGCCAACTGTGACTCACTCTCTTGCATAATTCTTAGTTGAACATGTATCCCTAAAATGCCTGGCCTTAATAAAGGTTAAAATCCTTAAAAGCAGTGTACCATTCTGTGTTCCCCTAGAATTTATTTTTGCTTACAAGAGAACAGCAATGTTTTTCTAGGTCCCTGTTTTCAATGTTGTGATCCCAACAGCATAGATATAATGTGATTAAATCAATCAAGCCTTTCCCAGTAAATCTGCAGTGCATGGACAATGGGCTCTTGAGGTCCTTGGAAGGATATAATGCAAATTCAACAAACCATCTTGCGTTAACAAGACCATATTTTTGTCAGACAAAATTACGTACATTCTAATTACAATAATTATCTTGAAAAGAAGTAATTTAAAACTGACTATATTTACCATGATGAATAATGCCATTCTCTAATAAAGCTTGGCCAAGATGAACACCTTCTTCAGATTTGTGTATCTCTCCAATTTCCAACAGCCAGGACACAAATTCACTGAAATAAAAACAGACACAGAAAACAAACTTTACATGTCATACTACCAAATCTACTGCATTTCCATCTCCATTACTGGTATTTCTAACTAGTCTAGTGAATGATTCTTAAGCCTAGTGATCTTGAAATTATCATACCCCCTTTATTTTTATGTAAACACATATGGTTTCCCATGAGATGTTTTCTTTTTTCTGCTCAGAAGTTTTCCATGCATAAAGTTTACCTGGCACACAGTGAAGACTTTCCATGTTTTCTGGGATTTCCTAAACTAGCATAGCCACATTTGACCAGACAGACCAATATTAGGCAATCCCAGACACACATAATGCACCTGCCCAGACAGATAGGTCATGATGACAGACCACAACCACAGTATGACAGAACAGCAGGCTTGTAACTTCTAAGGTGTGTCCGACATGACATCCTGAGCATATATACAAAGTATATACTTCATGTGCAGGAAATGCCTGCCTTGTATCACAATAAAACTGATGCAGTTCAGAGACATCAACTTTATAGCATAGGTGTAGGTTACAAACCAAAAGCGTAATGAGGTAGTGCAACCTTCACTGTCATGGGTGACCCAGAGGCTGGGAGAAGTGGTCTTCAAAAGGGTCCACTCCAAACACAGCACAGAAAAGCGGCCATCTGATGGTAGGTTTAAACAGCTGCCTCACCATGAGTGTATTCTTTACCTGCTTCCAACAACTTCACTGAGGAAATACGACTCAACCATAACTCAATCATTAATCTTAATCCTGGTTTCCATTCTCTTCAACTATGTCACTTCTGACAGCACATAAGAATCTCCCAAGTTTCATTTCCACTTTTAAACCCAGTGGTATCTTCCTTACAATTTGTTTGTGTAAAATTTGCTGTACTTTATAAAAGTGCTTTTCATGCTTAACCATCTTATGGTCAAATGAAATAAGTGATAAACCCTTTTTTTCCATACACACATTTTTAGGGTATCTATCTCTTTCTTTTTCATTCAGTCTTAAGATGTAGGTATAATATGGCATTAAAAAGATTCCCCTGATAATACGGGTAAATTTTTAACTACATAAACCTTACTTAGTAACTCTGTTCTTGACATTCAAGCAAGAGAAGGATAGGAGCAGTTTTAGAGACAGAGATTGTTTTAAGTGGAATAAATAACAAATAAACTTTACACCCCAAACTAATCATTATAGAGACAAAATGCATTAAACAAATTGGGAATCATTTCTTTAAAGAAACTAATTCACGTGACACACTTTCATATTTTCATCATGCCTTTGCAGCCTTGTCTCTTTAACAGAACTACTTTGCAATGTAAGTATATATTCATAAATTTTAGGCAGACCAATTTACATTTTGGCTAAACTCTGTGAGGCAAATAGGCCTAACAGACATTGCAAATGAAGCGTGGTTTTCGCAGAATCCCAAAGATTTAAAATGTGTTTTTATATGGTAAAAATTCATGCTATCAAATGCATATAATACCTTCCAAGAAAGCATTTGGGGAAAGTGGTTAATTTCCTCTTCCTGTCTTTGATGAGATTCCCTTGTTTGCACATCATTTTGTACAGTCTTTCTCCTTGCTCAGAGATCATCACCCAAGTGTCCTGTTCCATGCCCAATTTTAAACCTGCCAAAAATGCATTAAAACTTTATGAAGTGATATTGCCATTATATTTCAGTATCTTCCCCAAAATGGAGAAGCAATACCAACATTTTAATACCAAAAAAAAAAAGTAAAGGAACTGTTTTCCATTTTTTCCCAACAATCAAGTTAAACTATGAACATCTGATCCTCATAAGGTATAACCAAAAGATATTTTTAAGTTCCTTATAGTGAAGTTAAACTACTAGTCATTCAACATCACCACTAACTTTTTAGTAATAAATACTAATGCTGTGATTTTCAGATTTCAGTATATGAATATTTGCAAGGCAGTAGTCATGTCTTCACACATTTAAAATAAAAGAACCCTGGTTTTGTTTTTATCATGTGATAATAAAAATGTCTTCACTTAAAGGAATATTTTTCAAATTTCCAATTAATAGTAACTGGTTAACTGTTATATGTATGTTAGTTTCACATCAGATTAATTCACCCCTTTTCCACAAAAGCATATACATGACTTGATTTTTATTTTCTTCAAGATTTTTTTAACAATGGAAAGCTATCAAGGGATTTAGTTTAATATTTTTAATGGTTTATTTTTTTCCTGTTTATCTTCTTGAAAAAATCACTATGTTTTTTGAGTAACAGATTAACAGATGATCAAATCCAGTTTTTGTTGAACTATGCATCCTATGGCCATTCACAGAAGCTTGTGTTCGAGGAATACCACCGACTTTCATATCCCACACGCTTTCTCAATAAACAGTTATTAATGCTGGACAGAACCACACGTTTCTTGAATGTCTTGTGTACATGTTCTCAGTTTCTGTTCAGATTTTCATAATTTTTAAACTATAACTGTACATATAACTGTACAGGTGACAAGCGGTGTCCCTCAGTACTCTGTCTTGGAATCGTTGCTCTCCAGTATCTTAATCGATGACACAGACAGTGGGATCAAGTGCACCCTCAGCAAGTTTGCAGATAACAGGTGTTTACAGGAAAGCCACCAAATTGACAGAAAGACTTCAGTAAAATTTTCCAATTCAGCTTGATTTCTCCTAGCAAGAAAATACAATCTATGAAAAGGTCCTAGTTCATAATTCAATTACCAAAGCTGAAAACTAAATTACTTCATTAAGGGCATTCTCTCCTTTTAGCTCAGCTTCTGCTGCATGGATTCCAAATAAAAGTATAGGTTGAGTTTCTCTAAGTCCATTGAATCTCTGAGTCTTCCAACTCATTTGTTTTTGGAGATTCTGTGTTGCAACCTGAATATGTGTGTGCCCCAGATCCTCTCCTCTTTGTTTCATGGTTGTCTCCTTGTTTGGCAAACCCACTGAAAACATCAGGAGCTGAAAATTTCCACATATTTTTAGAATGCTAAAATCCTAAGACATGTCTTGACTTTTGGATAGCTACCTCAGACCTCAAGCTTGCCAAAGTTTAGCTCAAACTCATCCCTCCTACCAGCTGCTCAGTTTATTAGTGTGAAATAGTAAGAATTCATCAACATAAAGTACACCTACTTAATCTTTGTATTTCTTATCTGAGATACCAAGAGCCCAAGGGAGTCAAGAAACTTAACAGTGAAGTGGAATTTACTGAAAACATTTTAGTAGGTTCCAGACAAGGTCCTATACAGCAGCAAACAAACCTGGGTTTTGTTGTATTTGACACCATCTCTACCACATTGCTTTCTCATTTGTTATTTTAAAAATGTTGAGGTTTTAGAATGTTAAAGCATCTTTTTAGCTTTTCTGCTATTAATTCCTGGTGACACTATTAATTAGCCAGTGCTCAAATACCCTATTTGAAACTCTGGTCCTACAACAGATGTTCTACAAGCATCCAGTATTCAACTTTAAAAAACCAAAGAAAATATTGTTGGTCTCCATTTACAACAGAAGCACAAAACAACAATTACTGCAACAGGCAACAGAAAATCTACACAATTCAGGAAAAGCATTACAGACCTAAATACAAGGCCATATTTTCCTTCAATATCAAGGCTCCAAACAACCTTACTAATATGGATATTTTAGCTTGCAAATGAAATTAGCTCCAGAAAATTATGAGGTGTCATCTTTCCCTGCTTCTACTTTGTGCTGGGTTCACCTTGAACACATGAAGTTATTCACGGTCACATTTGAGATCAGGATTATATTTCATCCAAGTATTCTTTCACCTTAATTCAGTTATTCAAAAAGATAGTGGTTTGCCACTGGTGATTTCTTAATTTTTTGGCAGGGGAGAATACATCAAAGACGGGGTGGTGGGTACGTTCTGCACCATTTCACTTTAGATCATCCGCATTAAAATCCAACACTGAAAGCCTGCTCATTTCAGTGATTCAAACGGCCACTCACAAAGGGAATCAATGCATAAAAATCACACAAGGCATTTAGGACAGACCCTCAGATACCAAAAACCATAATATTACACAGGTCTCAATGAGTTTATGACAATTTATACTGGTTGAGGATAAGCTATAAAATCACAGGTTAAATCATCTCCCCATTTCCAAAACAGCATTCACTACCAGCATACATGATTGAAGACATAAAGCCCTTCCTAGTACAAGCTTGATTTATTTTTCCCAAGCTGTTATTCATAAATCTTCAGAGGAACCTGACACCACAAGTTTGCCTACCAGCTGGTTTTCTTTATATCTCAACATAAAAATACAACATGGCTTTCTGGCAAAGCAACACAAGGAAGTTTATTAACCTACCTTTTCTCCTCTCTCGCTCTTTCAAAATTGCTTCCAGCCATTCTTGCTTCTCTTCAGGGGTTTTTGCCATGCATACAAACCACTTATTCTTTGCCGTGTTGTGGATCTTCCAGCCATTAATAACAGTGTGGCCACTGCTGTGGTAGTCAGCTAAGAATAGATAAAATGGCTTAAAGAGTCTCTATTCTTACAAAAAGCAATAGTTGTTACAATTACTAAGAACTCTCAGTACACACGAAGCCCAGGAGATACAGAAGAATAAAAATTAAAGTTACCTGTGCCACTTGTGAACTGTTATAACTTAATAAATTGTAGTTTTAATGTTTAGTAAACAATGTCCTTTGTAAAATGTAACAAAGAATTGCATAGCATATGGAAGAAGGTATAAACTCGATACTAAAACAGGCAGAGTCCTATTAAAGCAACAGATAACAGTATTTAGAGTACTTCTGTTTGTGTTAAACTGTAATAAATAATTCCTTAAACAAACAGCATTGTGGTTTTATCCCTTAAGTTGCTCAGAGCTGCTGTGCTGATTGAATGATTTACTATTAAGTTTAAAAAAGGACTTTACAGGGGGTAAAATACAATTTCAATTTGACAAGTAAGCACATCACATATATTTGATGTATTTTTACTGGTTACCCAAATAAATAAATATCTACACTTACTAGTTTAAACAAACTGAAATATAATACGAGATGTTCTTTGATGTAAAAAAAAAACAAACCCCAAATGCATAATTTTTGAAATATGCAATAATTTGAAATAATTTTTTTTAAATAGCCCTATGTTCAGTGTGCACCTTGTAGGAGAGATAACAGCTGCTGATGTTCTTAGGTATCTTGAACTTCTGACTCTTAACATGTAAAAATAACTACGATATAAAAATCAAGTCCTTACTACTTATTACTTCTGTAACATTCTATTTTAATATGTTGGCTCATAAATCTTATTCAGAAATTCCAAAACTAATACCCCTAACTATCCTTCACTGAGATTACCCGCATTTCCTGGGGGAAAACTCGGGAGACATAAATTCCTTATGATAAGAAATTTTTTTTTTACATAAAATACAGACTAAAAAACTAGAGCTAGCAACTACCATACAAAGTGTTTAGAAAAATCAAAGGTCAACGGTTTCTCACCACAAACTTTCATTAAGAGGCAAGAAAGTCCTAGGGCAAGTCCTGAACTACTATAATAACTACAAAGCTTTTTGTTTTGTAAATACTTTTTCATAATTTAGCCCTATTTTGTATGATGAGATGGGATTTTCTGAAACTGAAACCCTTGCTGAAATGCTTGCTAAGATTTATCATAAATCTCAGCAGACATGCTAGTATCCTTTCAATAACTTTGCATTTTAATTAGATGGAAAGCAGCCAAGCTTTGTGTACTGGGCTGGGAAATGTCAGGAACCACTAGAAAACCATGAGACTGATGGCTAATTTCTAAACCAAAAAAACCTTCTAGTACTCAAAGCATGTAAGAAAGTGTAAGCAAGTTATGAACAGGAAGAAAATGAAGTCAGATATTTTTGCAACATCATGTTTATACCACTTACCTTTTTATCATATTTTTATTTGTATAGCCTATTCAGAATATCTTTTGTCCCTTTAAAAACACCATTTCTTGAAAACTACCCATCATACTATTCAAGCACTCTCAGAAAATCAGAGTCAACAGTCAAGGGAAAAAATGGCTCGTCCAGACCCTTGAATATCTCAGTGTAGAGCTGACTTTTTAAACACGCAGCTTCCTTGGCATCTGAAGATCTCTAACTGGAGGGCCAAGAGCACTGGCAGTTTGACCACATTTATCTCATGCCACTACAAACTCACTGAATTTTGTGAAAGGCCCAATCACGAAGCTAGGTGCTATGAATGCCTAATGTATACAGATGGCAGTGAGTTCAGGTGGAGGAAGACATGTAACTGTTGCCCAGTTTTGCAACAATAAACCACTGCTGCGATGGCCACTTTGACTTCAGTCTCTGCCTTTCACTGCAACACCCTTGCTTTCTCTTTTGCTCTTCATGCTCCCCATGACTACAATCCTCCAAGGCTCCCATGAGCAATTTGTTCTCCCCAGTACACCCATGCCTGTAGTCAAGAACATTTCAGCATTACGCTATCATCTCATATAAACTTCCACCTTCTTTGGACTTTTTGGACAAAATCTGGTCAAGAGCTGCAGCCATGCTGGCTGGCCAGCCAGGAGGTGTGCATATTCTGGCTGGTCAGCTGCACAGCACATACGTGCACTCTTCACATCATGTCAATCACAGCTGCCAGTCAAGCTAAACAAATAATTTGCAAACCTGACATAATGGTTACAGAAAGAAGAAGAGCATGAGACTTCAATCGCTTGATGTGAAGTCTGAACCAGCATGATCAACAAATCATTAAGCCGACAAGACGACATCATTTAATGTTACGTGGTAATACGTTAATGCTTGTGATTTGAATTGTAATATATTTTTCAAAATTCAAGACTCAAACATTTGAGTGATGCATAAGAAGCAATTTGTTACAGCCATATACAATAGAATTTTCTTCCTCCTTTAAAAAAATAAACAGAAATCTCTGTACTGAAGGTCGTCTAAATTTCTCAGACTTGAGGTTCTTGGGAGTATCAATGCTCAGAAATACCAAGGAAGTAATTGCTGCACAATATCAACTGCCATTCTCCTATGTATACTTTTTAAAGCAGCTTCTAGTTACCATTATCATCCTCTATTTTTTCTGTATTATGCCTCATTTCAAAACAACAGGGGACAGAACTACTATACTATAGCAAACATAAATCTGGTATTTCCTAACTCCCAAGTGCTTTCCTTCATAAACTAAATAAGATTCATTTAATGGCTTGTGAATGTCTTCAGAAATATATTTTTCTTTCAAAACTGATTTAGAAAAACTGCTACAGAAAAAAAACCACATTACAGTATATCCATCTTTCTAAAACTTGCAAGTGGCTATGTAGCCACATTGTTTTAAGATCACAAATACTCTACCCTGATAGGTAATATGCATTCCACTTTAATCAGTGCAATTAGGAAAAAGCAGAGTGCATCATGGTGCTGTAACAAAAAAGAAAGCTCACACCAACTGTACTGCTCAGCCAAGGCGTAATTTCATCAAAGAAAAATTGCTTTTCAGAAAAAGCTTTGTTAATTTCTGTAGGCACGTCATTAGCATGATAATAAACCACACTGGGAATCCGTTTTCCTATTTCTATGCTTCTACTTACAAACAAGGAAGACTACATTCTTACCTCTATCAATGCTCAGGCAAACACTCTCAGTTTGCCCTGTTTCCCGGAGCCCTATCATATATAGAGACCTTTATATAAAGTGAGAAGGGGATCCCAAAATCTACAGTAAAGAACTGTGGAAGTATCATCTAGACTCAATAGTCTTTAATGTCTGTAAAGAACTCCATATAGGGTACATGAGAAAGTCCTGCACAGACATGAAAATACAAGCACTCTGCACTCAGAGCTTCCACTCTAAATTAAGAATCATAGAAAGTAATAGGTAATAGATGATTAAGGAGCGTAAAATAATACAATACTATGCAAAGCTAATGTGAATGAGGCTCAGACAATCATATTGCTACACTTGGGAATGCGATGAGACAAAAAGAAAGCAGCAGAATAGTACTGGGTCACAGATCAAACGGAGATGACTACAGGGGATGAGAAACAAGACATCTGGGTCTAACAAATGAGAACAGTAAAGCAAGCAGAACAGAGGAAGGTTAAAGAAGGGCATCATGATCTGAGTGAAAGAAAAAATATCAGTGTGAGGAGACGGGATACACAAGTACCAGAAGGAAGGAGAACACCAGGGGCGTTACATAAAAAAGCAGGAGGGGGTGACAAGAAAAGGGTACTAAGGTGTCAAAGTGTCACCTTTCAGAGAAATAACAAAAACATTTTCATATTTCAAAGAGAAGCATCGAAAGGAGGGATGAAATAGCAAGGAAAAAATATTTTAGGATATTGGAAAAACTGAAAGCGAAAATGGGGTGGTAAGTTAAAAAAAACAGATAAGAATAATCATAGAGTCATACAATGGTTTGGGTTGGAAGGGACCTTAAAGATCATCTAGTCCAATCCCCCCGCAATAAGCAGGGACATCTTCAGCTCAATCAGGTTGCTCAGAGCCCCGTTCAACCTGACTGTGAATGTTTCCAGGGATTGGGCATCCACTAACTCTAATAAGCTAGAAATCAAAATAACCAAACCATTAACTGATGCCTCAGAAGTGGAAAAAAGTATGGATTTTGGAAATAATGTGTATATAAAAGTGACAGGATTTGATATGGCTTAGGAGAGCAAGTGGGAAGGAAGCATGATAGCCATGAGGACTGTGTGCAAAGCTATAGAAAATGGGGACAGTAGCAAAATTTCCTGTGGCTGGAGGAAATTATACTACTAGTGTCTGGAGTGTAGAGGAAGGTTATTTGTGCTTAGCCAAATTATACTGATGATTCATTGAGGAAGAAAACAAATGCGCAGGAAGCAAAACGAGCGGCATGAAAGAGATCAAGGACCGGATAGCTAGAACAAGTAAACAAAGAGAGGTAGGACAGATTTGAGCAATACAGGATAGTCATGGAAAGAAGACCAAAGAAATATTTTCTAACACCAACACTAAAAGTGTGGCAATATGCAGGTTGGAATCAGTGAAAGAAGAATAGTTACAGAATTCCTGGAATATTCATCAGGAAGAAGATGTTGGGTGTAAGCCTCTGGGGCCACAGTAACATCAAGAGTTACAAGCAAAGAGATGCCATCTTAGAAAGTGACATAATGCAAACAGGGAAACTTTTATTTCTAAAGCATATATAAGGAAGGTGAAAAAAAATAAAGGGTTTCAAATAATACACAACAAGAAAGACTGAAACAATCAACTCTTTTTTTTGCACAAACAAATTACTGAGATGCTAAAATAATCCTGAAAACTGGGCAAGAATACAGGTCAGGAAAGGGAAATAGCAGGATACAGAATATTGAATAAACTATATTCAAGTCAAAGAGGCTTGAAGAAATTTATTACAAGGTACCCATGGACAGCTCAAAATCACTAACTAAATTGGTGGGCCTGGTGAAGGACATAGCCCAAAACAGATGTCAAGGAATTCTTACAAAAAATGTCTGGTAAGCACAGGTAATACATCAAGTGTGACACCATAGTGCTCTACCTTATGTTCAGCATTTTCCACTGTTCATGGAACTAAGAAAAGAAGCATTGCAAAAGCTTTAGGGAACAAGATACAAACTCTGAATGCTCAATATTTTGTAGAAATTATAAGATAAAACTCAGTACAGAAAAGAAAGTAGTTAATAGGACCTATTTCAGACATTAACACAGTATAAAATATAACGGAATAGGCACCACTACTGCACAGAAGGCTCTGATGTGGTATTCTTGAACACAAACTAGAAAATTGAAAAATAATGTTCTCAGAAAAGCCAAACAACTCTGGGATTAATAGTAGACATCCCACATTGCAGCACTGTCCTACTTGGCACCAGCAGAGTTTCAGGTCTAGACACTTCAGTTATGAATTCCAAGCATTTTTAATGTAATTTCTTTATAAAACTGAGGGTTAATGACAAAAGATGGAAGCAAACTGAATAAAAAAAACAAAACTCCAAAGGGCAGAGAACAAAAACGCCCAAACACCACACATGAAAGACTTTAAAATAAGAGATGGAAGAGAGACTAATTTGTGGCAATAAGAACAACAGGCAATTTGTTCTCCAAGTCAGTTCTACTGTCTACCCAGTGAATGAACTATTTTGAAAACAAGGAACTCAAGATTAGAAAAAGATAATCTTAATTTTAAAGATTCAATTCCTATGAAGTTTACTTCCACTGTAGAATCATTGTCATTAATGCTCAATTTTAGAACACAATTACATTAAGAAATGTTTTGAATCCATAGCAGAGGTAGGACAAACCTAACACTACTTTAAAGTATCACGGGAAGTAATACATAACTCCCAGAAATCTCCTCCAGGCTCACACATCTGCAGTGTCACTGCAAGTTTCATTTATTATTTTTTTTTAGTTTTACATTAGAAAGTCCAAAATGTTTCAGGTTTTATTTATTAATTGTAAGGAAAATTAATAATTGTTAAGCTCAAAGGTTAAACTCAAGTTTCTAAAACAAAAATTGACATGTGTAGGAATACTTTGTTTTTTCACTTTATTAATGTATGTCAGGAAAATTTCAAGCAATCATATGGATTATATTGCTAGAGATATTTTAAAAAAACTTTCTTGTGTCACAATTCCAGCATTTATAATGTTCGAGGTTTCATTCCAACAGAGGTAAGTTTTCCATTTGCTTTTATAAATATACCACATACCTAGGGATAAGTTCTTTAAGAGCGCTGAAATGCTGTAAAATGAAGTTAAATATGCAATTTCAGCTGAGCAATAAATGGCACCTTATTTTACTACTCTGTTCATGTTAGCATAAAATAGTTATCTATGACCAACCAGCTAATAATGGATGACATTGCTGTCATCCATTCAAAGAAGCAGAACTTTGATACTAATAGATAGTGCTTTTAAAGTGGCATCTTACTCTTTCTTTCTAAATAGAAGGAGCACCGTCAATTCCCGAAGAAATCATCAAGTTGCATTTGATTTCAGCAGCTCGAGGGACTGCTCTGCAAACGAGCAACACAAATATACTCACCTGTTCCATCATCTACATTCTCTACTTCCATCACTTCTGTGTTTATTCTGCCCCGAAACAGGTAACGATGGCCATCTGCAGATGTTTTGCTGTTCTTCAATCGCCTGATTAAAGAAAGAGCAGATCTGAGCACGTCATCCCCCACCTTCTACATTTCTGCACTGCTATCTGAACATGTAGCATTTAAAGACCACTGTAAGAATCACAGTACATTTATACATGTGCAATTGAACTGTAGAAACCATTTCTGAATGGGACACTGCTGTTGGTAATGCAAAGATGCTACTGCTGGTAAGAGTTAGCTGCCAAATGCTGGCTGAATGAGAGTTCATCAGGAAAGTGTCACTCTGTAAAAGCTCTGTTCCAACACTTTGGCTTCTATATGCCATTATCTGCCATCAAAGACAAAATAATGCTTTGGGAGAACCTTTCCTCTTGACTGATGTAGTCTTCTTGTGTTAGTCTAGAAATTCAGCACAAGGGTAGTTTGAAAAAAATGAAATAAGAACATCTTTGGATATAAATCTTGGCCTACATATGTTAGCATCATAAGTGGGACTTAGGTATGGAAGAATGAAGACAACATTTTTCCTATCTAACATAAAGATTAACCAAGAATTGTAATTAAGCATTGCTGAAATTTTGTGGCAGTTTCACTGCAATATATTCCAAAGCACTTTGCATTGCTGTAACTCTGTTCCCAGTGAAGTCAAGGCATTTAGAGAACCCCAGTTCTAGACAGCTTTTCCCATTTCAGATAAGCCAGGGATTATTTTCTGTCCAGTTTTGCCTATAATGATAATTAATACTGTATATCAACCAAAGGTCTGCTCCTAAGAATTAATGATCACCTGAATTTTAACCTTCACTCACTGTAAAGAGGAATTAATCTTCACCCACTACTCAATCATTACTTCATTATTGTCTAATGAATAACTCTATTATACTATAAATGTCTTATTCAAAAACTGAATAATAGATTAAAAAAACAAACAAACCAAAAAAAGCAAAACCAGCAGCAAGCATAAAGGTTCAGTATCACACAGTTTTTCTCTCTAAAGTGAGAGAAATCCAATAGCTTTAGTGACCTTTTTAACTGTGACCCCAAATATAGAAATTCACATTTATACAACTCTGCTGCAAAATGATGCTTAGAAATTACATAAAATATCTCATACCATAAAGATAGGACAAATTTTGTAAAGTTATCAAAGTGCAAAGCTCCTATGACCAACACCCTCTTTACCTATGTGCCAATCAATACCCAAAGTATCTTGCTGGCATATAATCAATTAATTTCCCACCTTTGATTCTGAAATTATGTTCTAAATTGAGTTATTCTTATGTCTGCAGACATGTCACCATGGTACTAGCTAATGACGTGTCCGACATGATTGCTCAAAACTATAGAAACCATGGATGATCTTTTATGATTTTGAGATTTTCATCCAAAAGTGCATTCTAGCTAGAATACGGCTACAAAAATGTGCAACTGAGTGGAGGAAAATGGCAAAGATAATATGTACTCAGTAATTGCTGGACAACAAAATATAGCAAAAATTATAAATTCTGAAAAGAGTATTTATCATGTATCCAGGAATCTGTCAAAGATCTACCCAGTAACATGTATTCGTCGGCTACTCAAAACCAATTTCTGGATCAAAGAGACAAACCTGAGCATCAAGAGGGATGTCTGTAAAAGAGCCCTTACTTCTCAGAAGCATTAGAGAACTGAACATTATCTGTGGAAGTTTTTGCTCAACTGAGGAACTGCTCCTTGCAATGCAGCAAGCAGCAGCTTTCTGGCTCTTTTCCCCGATTACAAATATACAGCTTGAAACTCTTGAATCTGTAGAGATTTATTTTACTGCACAAGCTACATTACTAGTTTGTTTAAACTAAAAATTCAGTCTGTTTACCCTTCCTAGAAGAGACTGAGGTCATCACATATAACCTGCTGTGGAAGGCTGACAAAACACATTGTTTCTCCTTGCACTTCACCATTAGGATTTTGCATTCATATAACATGTTTCCAATGCTTGAACCAAATACACATCGGTGGATAAGTCTCCTCTAAAACCACTACCTTTTATACCACAGTTCTAATGGAACAGCATACACATAATGAGCTCTACTGTGAGAAAAATGCATTATTTTTGAAAGTAATCATTTACCTGTGCTTTTTTTTGCAGTAGACCAAGAGGTTATCAAAGAGAAAAAATATCCTCTCTTGGATATTTCCTGCTGAAATTTTGAGTAGTAGTCCACTTCGCAGCATTTCTGTGCACGTGTCTGTAATGTTAGATCCCTAAAATCAATTGGAAAGAGATTTTTTTTTTTTATTCTGTGAGAACTGAAGTACTCTTGTTTGCATCAATTACGGAAAAGTTTCTTACATAAACTCACAACCACAACAAATCTCTGGAAATACTAAGAATAAAACTCATGATGATTTATTGCATTGTAATTACATAGTAATTTCTAATGATGCTTAACAGCAGCTTTGTATTCATGTAGTAGTGGGGGGGGGCTTTTTTGAATAGATACAGTTTAATCACCAAAAGTTTCCAAATTATATTATATCTGTGCAGAGACCTCTCCTGAAAATCAGACCAACTTTATCCAGTAACTCTTAGCCTCAGTAACTTTACTCAGAAATATCTTAAAATGGGGCTTTACAAGACACCACCTCTGTCACGATGAACTTGGAAGCTGAAGCAACCAGGGAGTTGAAGATCATTAAGGGTATATACTTCTACAGTAGACTAAGATAAACACAAAATCAAACAGACAGAAAGATAAAAAATTGGGCAAGGCTAATAGTGGCATGTACAGCTAGGACCGTCTACTATACTATATACAATATTCCTCCTAACATACTCTGAAGACATCAGAATTTTGCTAAGCTTTGCATGTTTCAGATGAAACTTCCCATGCCTCATTTTTGTCTCAAGAGAGATAATTCTTTCATGTGAAAAGAAACCAGGTATTTTCATAAAAGTTAATCAAAAAGAAGGAACTTTAACAAAGGAAAAAATTGCCCCAAAATATTTATATGAAAAATTCATGACACTTTTATGTCATATAATGAGAAATCTATCTCTCAAGGAAGACTACCTTGAATTCAGAGGTGTATTTTGCTAGTCTGAAAAATCCATGCTCCTGTGGGCCAGAGCTGCTGTTGCTGTGCTATATGCATCCAGACATGCAATCCTATTGATAATTATGCATCAAGCACACACCCATGGTTTGAAGAGTTTCCTGACTTGAGGCAGTCAACAGTCAGCTTGGAAAACCTGCAAAAGCCAGGACTTCCTTGTCACCTACACATGTTCTGAATGTTCTATGCATGCAAAAACTGTAGTCCAAAGAAAAATGGATTTAATTAAGAGCCAAGAAGAAATCATGCATTCTGCTCTGACAGTTCTTCATCTTACTGCTTATCCTTTGTACGTCACAGCCGTGAATATTGAGCAACCCCTCAGACTGTTCTAAGGAGAATGCAGTCTGTTTACAGAGATGATAAGTGGATTGCACAACCACCACACTGGAACACAATTCAGGTCTCTAAGTAAGGCAGCTTCAGTATGTCTATTAACTAACCACTCCTGTTTCCATTTAGGATCAAACAAGCCAAAAATTAATGTCATCTATAGCCACTGCAGCATATTTCCCTTCCTAAGACAGCATCAGTACCAGAAACTGGCAATTAATTTTACAGTTTTATATGAAATCAAACACTGAAACATCTTAAAAGCATACACAGTAATATAAATTAAGCATAAATTAGGGCTGCACATAATGCTTGCTGACCACAATTACAGAAAAGCAGGTAATTTTTTTACATTCTATTTCACTGCACTTGTGTATTAAAAAGAGTAAGCAATATCTTGGTCTGAGTTTCAAATTTGCTGGAATAGTACTTACTAATAATTTGCATCTTGACAGGTTGGATACTTTTTAAAGAGTTTTGGTTTGTTTTTAGAGAAAACTTCAGCTTTGCTGAAAAATGGTATTCTTTTGTAAGGAAGCCAAAAAAAATCAGCTTAAGGCTTCAAAATTGTACTAGCAGACTAGTAGTTTCAGCTTTCTACAAAAGGGTGGTTTTATAAAAACATTTTGTCTCTTCTTATTGAAAATATTTCATTTTCAGTGTAGAAAAACACCATCTTTTCCCAACAGTCCTAGCAATATCTGCTACTGTGCCAGCAACAGGTCATAAAATAACACATATTTATGTATTTTAAATGTATATTATTCAGGCTACCTAACATTGAAGTTCTCCTCATTCATGATTCAAGTTCAATGTTACAACATGGCAGTGTTATGTGTATCACGTTACTACCCTTTGCTTTTGTCTTCCTCTTAATTTTCTTCCTTTTGTAATATAAACTGCTAGACGATGAAAACAACATTCTAGGGATACTTTCTTCCCTTGGAGATCTCCTGTTCAAATACTGAACACTGTTAATGTCACTTATCGGATACCTTCTGACAGGATCACAACCCAGGCTGCTGTGGCCGCAGATCAGTGAATTTTGTTATTGCTGTTTTATTTGCTGAAGTCCAAAGGAATAATGTAACAGGATCAGAAGTCACATCTGGCTGTCCTACATAACACTGCTAGTGTGGAAAAATCCCCTATCGCTCCCTTGCCTTAGTAATACTTAGGGTTTGCCTGTTCCTGGACTTTTGGTGGGCATGGAGCTGAAATGGAGAAAAAAGGAAGGGCATATTATGTGAAAGCACTACTGTTTCTACAGTGAACATTCCTCTTCACCACATCCCTTAGAGATGAAAAACATACCTGAAGAAGAATGGAGCAGAGAGCACACACAAGCACTGCCATATCCACCATGTAATTCAAAGGAGGACTGACAACTATAACAAGTTTTCATGAAGGATGTAGCTACACCTTAAACCTTCACATGGGTTCTCAGCAGGAACACCAAGCTATGTTTGATATCCAGCAGGATAATTCATTTAATCCAACTCTGAGCTGTTCTTCTCAGGGGGAAGGCTGATGACTGCAGTAACAGATGAGTGATCACCCTGGTGCCAGAAGCAGGTGAGGCTATCTGCTGCATTGCTAAAACTAAACTACACTACCTACAAGCAATAGTTTTGGAACAAATATTACCAAAACCTTCTAAGACAACCATGTTTTCATTAAGTGTTTGAACTGAAACTACCAGGGAAATTTTAAATATTAGTAATTTGAACCTGAAAAGTAATTTGCTATGTCAAAGTTTTCACAGGCATTTATACTCATGGCTTGTAAGTGAAGATGATACAGTTGCTCAGCCTAAATATAAAATCTTCACTACTAAGCTATTCATGTTTCTATATGTTTAAAGTATCTGCAATTAGAGTGGATGGGATATTTTCAGTGAAGCCAGCATTTTTGTAATACGTTGATTTAAAAACGCCATGTATTATAGAAATAAATCTGTTTTAATCATCTTCCAATAAAACATATAAAGGGTTCAGCTGGGGAAAAGATGACTTATAAAGCAGGCTTATATTGTGAATTTAGACTAGTTTTTCCTCTCTCTATCCTAATGGGTCACTGAAGATTGTAGAGCAACCCTCTCCTGTGGGTAGCTCTGGAGCCAAGGACTCTTGTGGCTTTTCAGAATAGCTGGTGTGGAAATTGAAAATCTGTTAAGATCTTGGTGCCTGCAGGTTACTTAAGTATAAATATATAATACTAAGGTGTACATATATATGGCTTCTAATCACCTTTGGCTGTCAGTCAGACACCTATCATTCCAACTAAAGAAACAGTTTAGGTGAGAGGTCTGAAATGTGGACTATCATGACCAAATTGAAAAACAAATACATTTAAAATACACTGGAAGGAGGGAGACCATTTTCAAGAAATTTAAAATAATACCTCCCCCGTCCTTAAATCATTAAGAATCCATCTTTAACATTAAAAAATTGTCTTTATTACCTTGAGATTAAAAGCAGCATTGGTTGGTATTATTTGCTACAAAAAGCTATTCATCTATATATTCTGGGCAAATTTCAGTCAAATACAGAGGTTTGACCATACTGATTCAGTGGCCAGTTAACAGTAATAAGGGTCAGAAATTACAGACAAATATTAACTTACTCTTCAGTATTTGCACATGGGCATAAGAAACAAACAAAACAGAGAAAAGGGCTAGAAATTGTGGAGTTTAAAAACAGAAATCTCTAGTAAAATACTACTTGATGATATGTTGAAATGGAAAGGAACAGAATACCCCATGCTATCATCACTATGTTGGCCTGTGACTCAGACTGGGTTGTTCAGCTTCCAGCTTACAACAAATGCAACAATTTTATTTTTTGTTCTCTCACTGAAACATCCACGCAAATTTTACTGACGGACTCCTTCAGCTGCTGAGCCATTCTCCAGCTGAGACAGCCACCTACACAAGTTCTGAATTCAGGCCAATAAATCCAACCACTTAGGAAATTAAGTGAGAAAGTCATTATACTCAAAAATTTCTTTCTTGAAACAGATGTTCCATCTTTTCCATGAATCTGTATTTTTATCATAATAAACACAAGCTTCATTTTATGACACTTAAGTATAGGAATGCAAGTCATGCTTTGATCAAATTCTAAAAATAGTCTTTATTTTTTTCCCTTTCCTTCTAGTTGGGGCCAAGCAATGTGCTAAGCATTTCCTTCTGGAAGGAAATCTCCAACAAGTTTGCCTCTTTATTTTAAGCAATGCAGAAAACCAGATGTTTATTTAATTAAATCCACACTCAAACATGGCATTCAGGGATTTTTTTTTGTAGTTGTTGTTGGGAATCATTCAAAATACTGTTAGCTCTTATACATACTCTGAAATTCTTACCATTTCAAGGACTAACCTTATGCTATGTCTGAAAAGGATGCACATATTAAGATCAAGGCAATTTTGCCAGATTGCACACCCTGTGGTTGCCATATGGTAACGGCAAACCTGATCAGCTAAAATACAATAAACACCATATAACTCTACCAAAACCATGCTGTTTTAAGACAATGGCACTATTTCAGAGTTCAAGCACAAGTGAAATCCTAAAATGAAATCTTGGAAGAGGGGGGGGAGAGGGGAAAAAACCCCCCGAGGTTGGTATGAAATTACTATGTTACAGTTCAGAGAACACATTCTGAGCACAGAGACAATAAGTCTTTGTTTCACATGCTTATGTCCGTATTTTTACCCTTCCTTCTTTATTGTTAACTTTGCTCATTAACATATTTCCAAAAGCAAACCTATTTACTACTATATTTTTGACCAAAGATTCAGAAGAAACTTTATGCAGGAAAGCATATTTCAGTGACAGAGGTTTTAGAACAGTAAGTTCTTAGTCAATTTATATGACTAATAATGCACTGAGTTAATAATACTGTAACTTTATACTTGAGTGTATTCATTAAGATGGATTTGACAACTATCTATGACTCAGGCACTGGAATCAAGTAGAAGAATTTAGTCACTATAGTGCAGTAGAAAACTCAATTGAAAAGTTGAAAATAATAGAAGGAGTAAAGCAGCGATAGGCAATAAGGATTATTTAACACATTTTGTTGCCCTAAAATATTCAGCAACAGAAGCACTTAACTTGCTATTGCTTATATCACGAAGTTATCACACAAACACATCCAATGCATTTTAATATTCAGATACACTAACCTTTCCAAGTTACAGCTGATGACAGCAAGTTCAAGCTAATTACAAGAAGAGACTTATTTTCACATGGTCTAACCGAGCAGCTTTTAAGTGAGGTCAACTAGACCTCCTTTCAATTACAACATTTAGAGGTTTACTTTATCTTAGTCCTTTCTTTTTCAAAATCCTACAAACAATACCATGGCATGACTACACACTGTGCGTCATTTGTCTTGAATTTTTTTAAATTCTATTTTATTTCACACTGAGGATTAAAAATAAATGCAGAAAGGTTTGTCTGAATACAGAGCAGCAATTATACAGCTTTTGTACTTGCTAAAATTCCTTCTCATGAGGTACAGTGAATTTTAGTGGAATTTCATAATGACCATCCTGTACCAAAAGATTACAGTGCCTTGAAATCCGACATGAGATGATTTGCCAGAAATGTAGTTCTTGAAAATGCTTCTACACAGAATAAGGAAAAAACCCTTAAGTGAAACATTTCAAATCACACAAAACACTGAAGAAACATGAAGAACTTTGACTAAAGTAAAATCTGTCACTTAATCCACATTTAGAATGAACCAAATCTTCCCACACTACTCAATTAACAACAAATCAGAGGTTTGCCTGAGTCCACTGATCGGGAGATTTCACATGGAGCAGACAGAAATAATTTTGCAGTGTCATGAGGAATATTTGTTCAGGTCTTATACTCCTTTCAGATAGTGGCTTGTTCTGCTGAATCCTTCTGGATGGCAGCAACTAAATCCACTGCTGCAGAAGCAGAGCACATCCTTAGGCACAGCAAGTTCAAGAAACAGGAGATATAGTAAGTAGGAGGTGTAGAGAATGAACAAAGCTGTGTAGAAACTATTTCTTGTTTCTGCTTTTTAGCCTGTTACTATGAATATCTACTTAAAAGTTGACTCTTCAAGTCAGTACTCTCATTTTTATTTTTCAGACTTCTTGGGGAACTCCATCAGTTAAAGTTCATCCAGGTCCACCTCAAGGCTTTCTCTGATTCAGTGTCCCATCAGTGTCCCCAACCCTTTCTTTTCTCTGCACTATACAAAGGCCATTTCCCACTGTATAGACTGAGACCCGGTCTGTCAGCTACCAGACTAACATGCAACAAATACATTTTTCTTGGTAGATATCCTAGCCTGCAAATCTTCCACAAAACTTAGAGAGATAAAAGCCTCTTCCTCTAGTTCTTAAGCAGCTTTCTTAGGAAGAAAAGTAGCATATTTGAGCAAAGGATTCAAAAAAGCAAAAAATAACTTCCATGTTGAAATCTGTCTCTCAAAAAAACCCGTGCATCTTTTTTTTTTTTAAAGTCAGTTTTGAATGTTTACATTGCTTGCTTTATGTTTCTTTTAAGGAACTTCACTGGTGTTTCCCTCCTACACCAGTGCAGACAGCTCAGACACTTCAACACAAAACACATAAGACAATTTAAGGATACACTCTTATCTGCACCTATCTTTCTATATGAACTATTTACAGTGCTCAGAATAATAGAAAAAGAAGATTTTGGTGCTACAACTACTTGATCTTGTTGTTTTCTTTGGGAAAGGCTGGATCTCTGTTTACTACTGAAAATTCTAACTCAGAAACAGACTTACTTGCGAAGACCTTACTTCAGAAAACTTTGCTGGAGCATTAACATTCTTTCATTTGCAAACTCTTGAAAAAAAACATAAGTCTTCCACACATTCTATTGAACATGTTTACATTACTTTAGCTCACCCAGTAGTAAGGGACTACCTACAAGCTAACAAAAACTCACAGACTCAGTCCTTAACCAATAATAAATAATCGAAATTTTTTCAACCAGAAAAAGTGCTGCTAGCCAGGTATAGACAGCAGTAAAATCAGATCAGCAGTTAAATTAGGATTTATAAATGTGTATGCATGTACACATACATGTTCATATAGACAATTGATATTCCAAGGCAAACACTAAATAATTACTCTCTTTCCTGGAAGTCTATTATTTTATACAGCAGTGCTCAGTCGTGGAGAACACTATTTACAGAGTAGATCTCAAATAAAAGCTGTGATTTCATAGAATTGAGGAGTTGATAGTACTGCAGGATCACAAAAACAGTGCATATAAAAACACTGCAATGCACACTTATTGAAAACTATTACTCCCTCCTCAACATACAAAGCAACAAATCTTATGACAGTACCTCCCATCCTTCAACATGAGACTGCCATTCTTCCAAAAACTCTAATTTTTCCATTTGTCTTTTGGCTTCGTTTATGTTGGAACAGACAGCCTTCATGGCCTGGAGGGCTTCCATTAGGGCCGCATAGTCACTGTGCTTCCTTGGAGTCCGTTTCAGTAATTCCTATTTAGACATTAAAAAAAAAAGAGGGAGGGGGGGAGAAAAAAAGGAAAAAAAAAAGAAACCTGTCTTTGATCTCTAAATGTACATTACAGGAGACTTAAATCAACAGCATACAAAATCAAAAAGTAGCCAGACCTCTCTTTTACTAGGTGGAAAAGTAATAAACCCTCTAGCATTGTGTCCTAGTGTGTACTAAAACTCAACAGTAATTAATTACTAGCAATAAATAATCATCATGACCTAGAAAGAAGTTTGCATTTCAGCTACTTTCTTCCCCAACAACGTTTCTTCATGTTGAGTTTTGGGGTTTAGGCAGTTTTTTTGTTTGTTTTTGTATTCCTCGGGTTGGAACTGTTCAACAGCAAGGATAACAGGCCTGCTTAAAAAAACATTAGTTTACTCATGTCAAAATTAACACCTGCCTTTCCTGCAACTCAGGGCAAAAAAAACCTTTAGCTCCACACTATTGTTTAATCTAGTGCAATATGCAATACAGCAAAGAATGGAACAATAGGTTAGGTGACTCACTGATTTCAGATGGTTACTGGTACTGGCAGCCATACTGATAAACAAAAATGGAGTTGCCAGCATTCATTTGAGATTTCCCATCTCAAGCTATCAACTACCCATATACAGCTGGACTGACTGAGGACAGCCTTCAGTGCATACCCTGACTGACGTGTGGGTAACACTCCTCTGGAGCCCTAACCCTGCAGCCACCACACCCTGTATTTAAATTTATTTAACATAAATATATTCATTTCATTGCCTCCTAGAGTAATGCATTAGTCATTTTCCCCTGTGTTGTCTGTAGAGCCTTCATTCAAAAAACAGAATAGAAAAATAATTTTAAAATAGACCAAGGGAACTATAAAGTCAGAGACATCTGGGATGACTCACACCTCATTGCAATTATTATATTGTTTAATTTATTTTTAAAACCTTTATTTTAACGTTTGTTTTTAGATATTTTTTTATGTCATCTGTCTTCAAAATTGGCAGTCTTTCAAATCTAAATTCACACATGCACTGTGAAAAATACTATCCAATAATCATGTAGCTTACTACTCAATAATCCAGTAGCTTCTAGAGCAGAATCTGCTCTGGCTTTCCTCTCATAGTTTGGAACAATAAACCATATTAGACTTTAATTTGTTACGCAAAAATTTGTTTTGAATATTACTTTCCTGTATTATTTTATTTCTTAACATGATAAATTACAGAGGTTTGACTATCTAATATTTATCACCACATTTAACATTTTTCATTGTTTTAAGTTGTCACAATATGATAAGAATAAACATACAACTAATCATAAAACCATCTACAGCACCTTTGTGTTACTCTACAGGTTTTCTTACAAAATGAATTTTTCATTTACAGTTTGTTGATGTAAATTAGTATCATCAAAGCATGTCAGCATATCACCAACAAACTCTGCTATCTCAAGCATTTTAAGCAAGGGCATGGTCAAACCCAGCTGAAATTAGACTCATTAAACTCTCTCAAATGGCTCACTTCTGTTCAACCACGGAACTAGATGCAGAATGGAGTTAATAATTTTTATCCAGTCAAACTCCTCAGTTATTTTAATAATGATATCAGAAAACTTGCCACTAGCTTTAATGACAGTAAGTCTGGGTCCAATATCTTAATAAAGAGATAGATGTGTAAAGAGACTGTTCCTGGAGTTCGGAAACATGCTTAGCAACCAATTTTATACAGGAAGTATAACAAAAATAACAAACTTGTAAGTACCTTCAAAAGAAGGGGATACTTGCATATTCTCTGTATTGGTGTTACTAGATATCCCTCCAACGGTACATCTGTGTTCTTGCGTCCTCCAAGGAGCATGCAATTCTGGAGTGTGAACAGTTTCACAAATGATTGAAAAATCCCAAAAAAGTTATCAGAAATAAAGACAAGGGCACATGTATACAGCAATACTGGCTAAACTATACATAAATTATATACGTGTATGTAAGGAGGGAGGTTTGCAAGACTGTCAAAAGTACAGCCTTGAACAGATGCACATGTTGGGTACACTGACTATCATACATGACAAGGAAGTCACAACATTTTGTAGGCATCTCTCTAGGTACCTTCTTCATCCATTCTGATGAAGAGAGGGTGCTTTTTTTAAACTTTAAAAATAAAAGACAGTAAATAAAATGTTCAAAATATGCTTTCAACTTTTAACTAGCAAAAACAAATAATTCAGGGTGACCACTAGAGGTGGTGTTGTTTCTAAAAAGTGTTTGCAATGTTAACTAGCACCACAGATGGTTTGAAGGTTTGAACATGGTCATCCTAATATACACCTCTAAAATGTGATATGCAATGAATAAATTATCCTTAAGTCATAGGCAAAAGATTATTAAAGTTTCAACAAGACATCTGATTATGGACGCAGAGAGTAAATTAAATATTGGGTGGAAGCATCCATGAAAAAGCAGAAGAGGGACATCACAGCAAATATTTGGAATTGCTGGAATTAACGTGTAAGTACATAAAGACCTAGAGTAATAATGACAACTACTTTATGGAGAGATCAGAAGGAATTGTGATGCAATGGTATGAGATAATCTACAGCTTCAAAGAGCAAGTTGTCTAAACTGAGGACACTAAACAAGAGCAGTTTAAGACAGCCAGATGGTATGCTGACACAGGCCACAAATCTGGAGGCAGACACATTGTTGATGGAACAGAGACTACAAAACTGGGTGGCTACCCTGCTCAGCACATAATACACATACCCTATCCCCACTGCTGCTATGGGGGGTCTCCACACCCACTCTTAAGTCTCTGCTTTGTGCTCACTGTTAACCAGCTTTTCTCTTAGCCTAAAGGATCCCTTATCCTAAAGAATCTCACTTAACCTGCCAATGCAAAAGCTTTACTGATAAAGTAAGATAATGGCAATGCAGACTATAGGTTTATATAATGACTGTCGCTATATTCAAAGGCTCAAAATTATTTATAGATATCAACGTATCTAATGACCTGAATTGTTCTGTCTGGCTAGAAGGCTTTGACTGTATTTTCAAACTGTAGAGTCAGATGTCTTGTTTTCTAGGTTAGAGTGCTGCCACTTAATCGTACAGACATGTCCCAAATCTATGAGGAACCCAAAACAGACGTGAAAGCCCTTTGCATGTGCCCATGAGTACATGACACTGATTGCCGCAAGTGCACGCTTAGCTTCCTTTCTCACAAAAACAAGCTCTTTGCAATATTTCTCCAGAGTATTTTGCTTTTTGTCTCTGCAGTCAGCATTTGCCCTTTCTTCTTGAGCCCGGCCATGCTGCTCCCAATACAAGAACCATGCGTATGAGGCCCCTCAATCTGGGGCAAGGTGAAGGATATTGTGTCAACCACTGAGGAAAAATAAGGACAACTTTGAAGCCATTTCTAACTATGAATGGAACATGGATGAATTGGAGATTCTTAGTAAAATTGATATGGTACTTCATGTCACCCAGTACTCCCCACAATAAGGAAATTCGTGCACTGCTCATTAACTTGGCTGTAAGTAAGTGCAGCTATGGAGTCAGAGCTGACACTTTTCAAAAAATTAGCCAGCTGCAACAGGACAACTTCACCAAGAACTCTGTCAACAGCAGTAGTGAAACCCTACTGCATGCTAACAATTATTAGTAAAATTAAATAAAACTTATGATACTGTCAGCATTGGCAGAATCTTTTTTTTAAAACATATCTGTGATGCTTTGCTGATACAGTCATTTGCTCTCCAGTCCCAAAACATAATAATCAAATCTTATCCCTTCAAAATTTGATAGCATATCCATGGGCACCTTCTCAGGTATTTAAGTTCCAATATAGTAAGCTCCACATTTTAAAGCTAATCTTGTTACCACAGGACACCACGGAAGAAACACAAAAATCATTCCACACTGAGTCCTTCTTTTAACAACTAATGTCAACTATTAACAAACTCATGGAAATTAGTTTTGCTGTTGGAAAACCATGAGGACTGTCATACTTAATATTTTTAAACTTCTCCTTATTTGTCTTATAGTCTTATAAAGTGAAAGATTAATTGTGGAGCCGTTTCTTTCAACCTCAGATTAAGTTAGTGTCTAAGATCAGGATGGTTACTCTATAATCCATAACAAAACACTTCTCTGTCTGCAACAGCTCTGCCTACAGTACCAGAATGTGGATCTTCTCTTCAGAAATTCTGATGAGTCCTTCAGCTTCCTTTCTGTAATTCCTTTCCCCATCCCTCCTCACATATCTTATCCTATTCTTTTTCCTTTCTACAGATTCACAACCTTGTCTCCTGGCCAGCATGTTCAAGGCACATTGCCTAATGCTGTATTATCCACAGATCCAAGTGCAGTAGTGAAAATATGATGTACACACGCCTTTCTTCTGGAAACATTATCCGCAACTAAAACTGTCTGCTAACCACTTGCAGGTGTGCCTGTACTTGTAACACGGTGGAGGTGACAGCGCTAACGATTCACTGCCCAGTCAAAAAATATGAGGTCAGAATACCAATTCTAAGTTTATTTACCAAAAGAAAAGTCCGCACTGTTCTTATTTTGTTCAGGTCAAGCAGAACTTTCTGTGCCTTCTCGTGGTTACTACAGTATTCATCATAGATACGGAATTTCTCTTTCTGCAGAAACAAAAAAAAGATATTGTTTTTCACTCATCATTTTGATAATTTTTTTAATTAATAAAACATGGCATGAACACTTTTCAATGTTGAATAGCTAATATAGTCTTCATTCTAGAAGGTCAGCTCTTCTTCCTACATTTATTATTTGAGGTCTTGCCTCAAATTAGAATTATGAACAGTCTGGAAGCACTACTTGGGAATTTCAATCATAGATTCATAGAATACCAGGTTGAAACAGACCTCAAGAATCATCTGGTCCAACCTTTCCTGGCAAAACCACGGTCTAGACAAGATGTCCCAGCACCCTGTCCAGCTGAATCTTAAAAGTGTCCAATGTTGGGGAACCCATCACTTCCCTAGGAAGATTATTCCAATGGCTAATTCTTCTCATTGTGAAAAATTTTCTTCTTGCGTCCAACTGGAATTTCCCCAGAAGTAACTTGTGCCCATTAACCCCCTGTTATCCATGTGACTCTGTAAAAAGGGAGTCTCCATCTTCGTAGCCACTTTTTAAATACTGGAACATAGCGATAAAGTCTCCCCAAAGCCTGATTTTCTCAAGTCTGAACAAATCCAGTTCTCTCAGGCAGACATATGGCAGGCTTCCCAGTCCTTTGATCATCTTTGTGGCCCTTCTCTTAACCCTCTCCAGACTGTCCACATCTCTTTTGTGACCAAAACTGAACACAGTGTTCCAGGTGTGGCCTGACAAGCACTGAGGAGAGTATAATAATGACTGCTTTATCTCTGCTAGTGATGTCCTTGCTGATGCAACCCAGCATCCTGTTGGCTTTATTTTCTTTGTCACAGCAGCACACGGTTCACTCTTACTGAGCTTTTTGTCCACCCAGACATAGAGTTCCCTTTCCACAGCACTGCTGTATATCCCAGCCTGTGCTGCACTCCAGGATTATGTTTTCCCAAGTGTAAGACTTCGTTGAACTTCATACAGTTTTGCTGAAAAATTTCAGAGGCTAGACTACCACAAATACACAGGATAAAACACTCATGAAGAAAATGCACGAGTGGCTAATTTGCTGACATTATTACCCAATTTTTCTGCAAACACTTGTTTTCAAATATGATCCATTCTTCTGCAGAGTTAAAAACTGATGTTACTCAACTTCTGTAAAATGTTTCCACAAAACATTAATAGTTTTCTCCTCCCACAATGAATAATCAAAAACTTAAGAAACAAATGGGACTATAACCAGAGATAACAATGAAACTAGGACTACAACTGAAAGAAAACTAATTTGTCCTGATTCTGCAGAGTTCTGTAACACTAACATTCTTGTTTTGCTCAAACAGGAAAAGTCATATTCCTAGAAACCAATTACTATAGGACGTGCCTAGTTGTGGAGGTACTGCAGTTGTAAGAAATAAAAAAACTTCACAATTCAGAGCCATTCAGGTATTTTACCCAGTGTATGCAATCCTTTGTTAAATATTCACATTTTTGCATAACATCAAAGGGGAATAAAAAGATAGCATTGTACTACTTTTACTGATTCATGCAACCCTGATTCTTGTACCTCCATCTCACATATAGGCAGAAGCTTCGCCCAAGCTGCAGGGCTCAGTTTGGCAGCCTGAGCTAAGCTGGTGAATATAAAAACGATGAAACAACAAAAGTTAGCCCATTTGATATGTTCCTTCTTCATTTTCCTCCCTCTCTTTTTTTTTTATTGGAAATGACAGTAACTAAGAGATGACTTCAAAGTACTCTACATTACACAATCAAGTCATATTTAATCTTCATGACTATGTACACTCATCATCATGACAGTAATTAATAAATACAAAAAATAAAGGAAAAACATTATACAAGGCTGTAATAAAAGACAGCATACATAATTCAGAAAGCAGGTTCCAACTTCATGCTGTGCATTAGGTTCTGGTTGTAAACACTCCTCCACCAGGGACAGGAAGTTTTTGTGAACTGCAAGAATATCTTCAATATTTGAAAACAACATCTGCAAAAGAATAAAACATATGTAAATGCAACATCAGATACAAAACAGAAGAAATATGCAATTAGGATACTAACCTTAACTGTCTCTTCTGTGACATTTTTATCCTCTTTGGCAGTAGCACGTTGGATCATTCGGTGAAGAAAAGCCTGCATGAAACAAGACAAATAAGGAAAAAGTTATTTCAGGAAGACTTGAACAACTTCTGGCATGTTATGCTTTAATTTGTTTCCCAAATTTGACATAGAGTCATATCAGAATATTATCTAGAATCTAAAACAAGTATTTTATTTATAAAGCATTTTGTAGTCCTGTTATTCTAAGGTAGTGTTCAAAAGAGTTAAACAGTGAAATATTAATGAAGCTGAGAAACTGAGTATTCTCTGCAGTACCAGTCCACCTTGCACCCCTATTACAATCAAGCAAGAACAAAATGTATTAATTTTCAAAATCTTACTCTAGCACTTCACAAATCGAGTACAAGACAAGCCAAAATAAGCTGCTAATTTTCAAGTTAAACTAATCAGGAGATACTATTATGAAATGTAACTTTTACATAGCAACCTCAAGTCAGATTTCAGATGTATTATTGATCAAACCTATTGTAAAGTAAATTGGCTTAAACAACAGTCAACTGCACCTGGTTTTGCTTAATGAAAACTCTTCCCTCCCCAAGAACCTAATCCCTGGGGATCAAATGAGAAGATAGTAATACCATCAATGAAATACCAAAATACTAAGTTTTCTTTTATTTTACATTCAAGAACTGGACACAAAAAGAGGAAGATATGTACAGTAAGTCATTCCAAAAGAAATAAATATCTCGTGTACAAAAAATAGAATTTTTATTAATTCAGTTCATTACAAAGACATGGGTATGTTCTGAAAAATATCTACACACTGTAGATATCTACAGTCTTACCCTGATAATTCTTCACATAGACATACACATTCTTTAGTCATTAAACCTGGCACCACAAGTGCACCAATGTCATGTCTTTCATAACCATTTCAGTCACTGTGCATTGTACACTGTACCTGAGCTCATCTAAATTCTGGCATGGTGCAAATTCCATAAAAGAGACAATAAATAACCCCCGTGTGGAAAGATAGCAGTCACAGCAACCCTTTTTTCTCTCTGCTGGCACTTAAACATTTTTATTCCCAAGCAGCAGATCCTTTCTCTGCTGAGGAGGACTATGTAGCTGGCATTACACATTTTTATTACTAAAGAGTCAAATCTAGTTATCCAGGACATAAACCAAATTAAGTTTGGAATACTGCCAGCATACTGTATGTTTCCTATCACCCTCTACAATGATGTAGATTTTCTAGTTCGTTAAACCCCTCTTTCTTTCTAATGTTTTATTGGTGCTAAAAAAATGCCATTAACTCATTTGCAGCAGTTAACTGTTTGTGGACAACACCCTTTTATATTGTTCCTTGCTATGAATACCCTCGAGGGTTATGGCAAATTTGCTGTGTGCATCGCCTGTACACTGTACAACCAATCCCACAGAGAGTGAAAGCCTGCATGACTCCAAGTTAATTTCTGGAAGTTTTCACTAAACCATGCAACACTATTAAATATGCTTTAAAACTGAAGAGGAAAAAAGAATTACAAGAACTACCCCTGAAACTCATGTCTATTTTTACTATCTGTAATTTCTCTCTGTTCACATTATTTCCCCATAGACCAAACATACTGCTCATCTGCACTCATGTCATGTCAGAAGATCTTCATTTCCTGTAGCTGTGAAGGAAGGTGAACATTAAGTTGGCTGAAGGTGAAACTGAGAAGGAACTGAGAGCTGAGGCATTAGTTTTTCTCAAGTGATTCAAGACACTAGCCGAGAGTCATGAGGTCATGAAGAGTATAAATCAGCTGCAATAAACAGTTGTCCAAGCAGCACTGTCCCAGACATCACATCTGCAGAGGTTATCAGTAACTAAATCCAGGAAAATCCAAACTCTTGCAGAACCTAGACACAAACCACTAATTAAGGTAGGGAGGCCTGGGATAACTTCAGTGCCTTCCAGAAACTTCGTGCAAGCCACGTAATGTTTTCCTGTACTCATACTGTAGGGCTTGTGTAGTCATGATGCCAGTTTTTCCCCAAGATTAGCCACCTAAATCATAGAATCATTACAGAATCATAAAATCACCTGGGTTGGAAGGGACCTCAAAGATCACCTCATTCCAACCCCCATGACATGGGCAAGGACGCCTTCCACTAGACCAGATTGCTTAGAGCTCCATTGTTGTCCCTATCAGTGCAGATTTGCTTCCTGAAAAAAATCATAACACTGTGTCCCAAAAATCAATGGATGTGATTGAATCTTTCAGGCACTTACATGAGAGCACTACAAAGCTACACATATTGCAAAATATTTGGAATAATCTCACATTTCCTAGGAAGAGTGCTTTAAGAGAATTAGGGGAATGCAGGTAGGGATGGAGGTGTCTACCTCCATTCATGTGCCACCAAGACTGATCCTTGGTGGGCTTGAACTGCTGTGGAATGAGAAATGCATAGCAAGGATTCAGGTTTCCAGGATGCAAATCGCCTTACCAACTCCCTTCCTGGAACATGGAGACTCCACTGACTCCATGCACATAACTACTCTCCACTAGGACTTTAGTTCTCCCTTTACTAGGGAAAACAGTCAGTCTTCATCATGCAGGAGGATGGAGAAGTAATTGCTTTTTTACAGTGTAAGATAACCTTAATCCAGCACTGCAACTATGAAAAGACAAATGGCTCTGAACTTGTATGAACACATGGCAGGTCTGAGAGAGAGATGACTATTCCAAAAAATCTCCAGAACTATTTGAGCATCAACCAAGGAAAACCATGAACAGTTCTTCAAAAATTAGTAAACAGAGAAAAAGCAGGTAATTTGTAGACATAACTGTAAGGAGGACCCCAACACAGACATTAAAGACTTTAAGAGGAAAATATATAAGGATAGGCAGAAACCTACCCAGGAGCTGTGAGCTCCTGAGTTAATGGAAAAAAAATTATAGTAGCTTTTGAAGATATACTGCATAAAGTATTAATAATCATAGAAAAACACCACACCTGTAAAAAAAAAAAAGAAGAAATAAATGTAAAATGGACATCTCAGCCAATTTATGATTCATTAAAGAACTGGACACAAAAAAAACTGAGTTGCTTCTAAAAATTCTACCATTACTTAAAGTATACTGCTTCAAGTCTGGACTCATTACTGAGCACCCCATTACATGAAGGAGCAAAGCAATTACAAAGGACACACATGGAATAGATCCTGCTCCTCGACTGAGCAAACAACTCTAGGAATCAATTGTCATACATCATTCCCATTTTTAGACCAAACAAAAATTCATCTACATTAGTGTAGATGTTTCATAACACGACATCAAAGCCAGAGAATAACATACATCTATCTCTGTGCACCCCTGGATCCCAGACCATTGTCACCTAGTCTCTCAACTTTCTCAAAGCTTTTCAAGTGAATTCCAGAGTTTCCCTTAACTTTCTTTCAATTCTTAGTTTTCTCAAGTAACAGCAAAGACACGTGGTCAAAACAGAACACAATTTTCCAAATTTTCATCTTGTGCCACCAGCATTCTAGCTACACTGCTATAGTACAGGGATTCAACCTTACAGCACTGCAAATGGAGATTCCCTGCTCCTGGTGCTCTCTGCCAGCCAGACTATAGATGATTTCTCTTTTAAGAGATCTCCATGCAACATTTCAGAGCAGAACACTGGCTGGGTGCCATAAATCTTAAAGATCAGGTGAAGAGCAAATATAAAAGAGGATGTTTGTTATTTACATAAAAAAAAACACCACCCAGTTTTGTTTGCCAATTTTTAGAACTGTTTACGGAAAACTCTGTCATTCTAGGAATATCCTTGAGTCACTCAGAGTGCTACAACCCCTGTCTCCACAAAGTTTGACATTCAAATTACAAACCTAAATTTTCTAGAGCATCCTTCTGGAAACTTCATTAACACAGAATAGCATCTGTATGATCAGCATATACCTGTTTTGGAGAAGAAATGCCTCAAAATGCTGAGAAAATTCTAAACAGGGAGAGTCACGTCTTAAGAAATTTGATGATCTTTAGAAGTTTGACAAACTTGCAGACCAAAACATGGGGTACCAACTGAGCCCCCTGGAATAGAGGAGCACCTACACAAAAAATATGTAACAGTTTAGTACTAAAGTTTCCTAACTCCACTAAGGTCCTATTGGGGACGGACATAAATGCCTCTATTTCTGGCTATGACTCAGAGTCCCTGTACCACGCTGCTAAGGAGGAGAGTAACTCACCTCTACCTTTGAGAAATGTGGCAAAAAATTACACAGATCATTTGGAGAAGATTCCATGCTAATAATATCAATGAAGATAATTACATCCTTTTTTCATAACTGTGTATTTATTAGCCACAAAGTATTGTTACATACTTCCTGTACTACTCCCTGTTCTTTTTACCCTTTACCTGACATTGCAGTAACACAGTACAGGAAACTCTGGGAGTGAAAATGAAAACATAAACCACTGAAAATCCAAATTCAAAGAATTATAAAAGAATCTGTTTATTATGCCAAATAAACACTAATGTGTTTGCCTGTCTGCTGGTCTGCTGCCATTTTGCGAGGCAGCATTTTTCACAGAGAACACACACTGGGTTCCTGTTACAGGGATTTTGACTTCTGGTCTTATCAAAATAAGAGTAGCATTGTTGGTTGTTTGGTGGGTTTTTTTCTCCATAGTTGCTCTGTGTGTTGGGGAAAAAAAAGGGGGAGGAAAAAACCTACCACTGCTGCAGATAGCACATGGAGCTGCCAACAGCACAAATGACTTCTCTGACATCTGGAATGAAACCAGGGAAAACAAAGAAGTCTGCCTGCAGAAGACTCTGAGGGCACAAAGAGTTTTTGCCTTCTTGACAGATAAAAAAGTTAAGTCCTGAAATTATGTCAGAGCACCTGGATCACAAAATAAATGTAACTAGCTTTCTGAAAGTAATCCTACTTTTTTGAGCCTAGAAATAAATACTGGTTTTTATTTGAGAAAAGAATTTTTAAGAAGTTACTTATTTTTTCCCTCCAAACTTCTTTTAACAGTCTTTCTACCCTTAAATCTATACTGTCA